CCCTGGTCACTCCTTTCTTCCACTCCCTTCCCTTGAGTCAAGAGGGTATCTGTTAACCCCTCTCATAGGAGAAGAGAGTTTCACCCTTTCCCCCTCACCTTTGATTTCACCCTCCCCCACCCGGGGAAAGGAAGGAGGGAGGAGGGGCAGCAGCTACAGCATGGGCCCCCCTGGCAATGGCCTTGGGTCCTAGGCCAACCTTTGCCTGGAAGCGTCACCCAGGTTCAGCACATCCTGCTCAAGGTAATGAAGCTAGCCTCCAAACTTGGGTAAGCATGCTCTTTTAAATTTTTAGTTTTAGCTGTTAATGATGAGATGTTGATTCTTTGTGTGAAATAATTTGAAAGTGCATTTAACAAAACTGAAGTCACCTGATTGGTAATGGGTTTGTTTCAAGTTTCAAATTGGTGAACTTTTTGTATCAGTTATGTCAAGCAACTTTTCATAATTTAGTTACTGATAAAATAATTTGCCTATTGTTGGTTATTGTTTTAATGTGTAAACTAGCCAAAAAGCTTGTTTGGGTTGTGTATGGCTTGCTGAGAATTTGCAAGTGTGTAGAAATCTCTAATGATTGGCTTTTTACCCCAGGACAAATTTAAGTTTGAGATGTAAATCCTGGAAAAGTTTTTCCTGAGCTGTGATTAGTAAAACTTGTTGTTTGAGGTAAAAGCTCATAGGATTTTGAGTTGTTTGATGGGTCATAATCCATCGATAATCAATAATCCACCATCTGAGAGAAATGCCACAAGCATTTCAGAGAAGGTGATACTGGTGGGAAGTCAGCATTGGGAAAAGCTGGGAGGACAATTTTAGCCTCGGTCTAAGATGGGATCCTCCTGGCTCAGTTTCCCCATTATGTTCCTTTGAAAAGGAATGTTACCTACCTGGCTATTCCTGAGTCTGGCTATGAGGTGCATTTGATACTGCATGGTTGGAAAACTGAATTATCTGAGTCCAAACAGAGCTAAGGATGTTTTATCCTGTCATGTCTGGGCCCTACAGTTTTTTTTTTCTGTCAGATTTGTGTCTTCCAGACTGCAGGCCATTCACCTACAGTTGGTAGCAAACAGCGAATACCAGCCAATGTCCCCCACCATTTCCTGGATGCAGCCTGTGCTTGGTTCCAGTCAACCTCCTCTTTGGGATCCCCTTCGAGGCAGGGACAGCTCTATGCCCCTTGCCAGCAGGAAGCAGTTTCAGAAGCTGAGACCTTTGCCCCTTACCCCAAAAGAATTTGGGTCCCATTTGTTTGAGGGGGGAATGATGGGGTTGGGATCTGGGCCCAGAAAGGAAAAGCCCTTGACTTTCCCACATGGCCAAATCTCTGGCGTTAGCCTGAGGCTATAATCCCTTCAACTGGCCTTTCATTGTGGCTACACCCAATCTCCTCTCCATTCTCTTACCTCCCTATGGCCCCTGGCCATTTCCCACCCTTAATCCTAGCTGGGCTCCATTCTCTCTTGGCCATGTGGTCCAGGTCCCAGGAGTTCTGCTTACTCCAGCTTACTGGCCACTCCTAGATCCCTCCCACAGTCTTTCTGTATATAATAAGGTCCATCTTGTCTCCATTAAGATGCTTAGATTCTCGCAGTGGCTAGAGTGCAGGCCCTGAAGTCAGGAGGACCCAAGTTCAAATCCAGCCTCAGACCAAACATTTGACACTTACTAGCTGTGTGACCCTGGGCAAGTCACTTAACCCCAATTGCCTTAAAAAAAAAAAAAGGCAACAAAAGATGCTTAGATTCTTATAATCTAGCCAGTGTTCAGATTCCTAAAATCTAGCCACTGCTTAGATTCTTATAATCTAGCCACTGCTTACTCATGTTCAGACTCCTTAAGAGTCTGTCTAATATGACAATGTTCTAATAAACCTTGTCTTTGGCTGAAAAAAAATGTCCAGAGCCAAGAGATGGAGTGTTTTGTTACTGAAACAGCCAAGAGGCCAATGTTACTAGATCGAAGAGTAAGGTGTAAGAAGACTAGAAAGGTAGGAGGGGGCTAGGTTGTAAAGGGCTTTGCATGCCCAACAGAACATTTTGTATTTGCTCCCGGAGGCCATAGGGAGCCACTGGGGTTTATTGAGTGTGTGTGGGGGGGGTGACATGGTTGGACCTGTGCTTTAGGAAAATCATGTTAGTGGCTGAATGGAAGAAGAATTGGATTACAGAGAGACTTGGGGCAGGCAGACTCAAAAAGCAGCTACTGCAGTAGTCCAAGCATGAGGAGATGAAGGCTTGTACCAGAGTGGTGGCAGTATCAGAGGAGAGAAGGAAGTGTATTAGACAGATATTACAAAAGTGAAATCGACAGGCCTTGGCAATAGCTTGGATGTGGGAGGTGAGACAGTGAAAAGTCCAGGATGACTCCTAGGTTCACACCTGATAGACTGGGAGGATGGTGTTACCCTCAACAGTAATAAGGAAGGTAGGAGGGGGAGGGCTTGGGGGAATGCTACTCTCATTTTGGATGTGCTGAGTTAAAGATTCTACTGGACATCCAATTCTAGATGTCTAAATGGCAGTTGGAGATGCCAGATTGGAAGTTAGCAGAGGTTGGAGTAGGATATAGGCAGATTTGAGAACTGTCAGTGTAGAGATTGTAATTAAATTTATGGGAGTTGAAGAGATCTGGAGAAGAGAAGAGGGCCCAGGACAGAAGGCTGTGATACACCTACAGTTAGAGGATGTGATCTAGATGAGGTCCTAGAGACTGGCAAGGAGTGGTCGGCTAGGTAGGAGGAAAGGTGTTGCAAAAACCCAGAAAAAAGAATATCAAGGAGAGGAAGGTGTTTGACAGTGTCAAAGGCTGCAGAGAGGTGGGGAGAATGAGGATTGAGGAAAAGCTGTTGGATTCGGCAATGAAGAGATTATTGGCAACTTTAGAGAGAGCAGTTTCAGTGAAATGATGAGGCTGGAAGCTGGATTTTAAGTGGTTAAGAAGAGAGTGAGAGGAGAGAAAGTGGAGGCACCTATGCAAGAGTAAGGATTGAGGGAGGGTTACTTGAGGATGGGGGAGACATGGGCATGTTTGTGGACAGTACAGTCAAGGAGTTGGTACATAGGGAGAGATATAAGTGATAGAGTGGGGATGACAGAGAGGACAATCTGGTGGAGGACACAAGATGGAATGGAATTGCTTGAGCATATATAGAGGCTTGGTAAGGAGTAACAAGGCAGCTAGGTGGCGCTGCAGTGGATAGAACACCAGGCCTGGAGTCAGGAAGACTCAGCTTTCTGAGTTCCAATTCAGCCTCTGACACTTACTAGGTGTGTGACCCTGGCCAAGTCACTTCACCCTGTGGGCCTCTGTTTCCCCATCTGTAAAATGAGCTGGAGAAGGAAATGGCAAACCACTCCAGTATCTTTGCCAAGAAAACCCCAAATGGGCTCACTAAGAGTTAGGCACAACTGAAAAATGATTTAACAACAAAGGAGTAAGAAGCAAGGGAAGATACGTGAAATAATGCAAAGGGAAGTAAGCAGAACTAGTAAAGCAATCTATACAACACAAGTGTAAAAAACAAAAAAGAGGGGCAGCTAGGCGGCACAGTGGATAGAGCACCGGCCCTGAACTCAGGAGGACCTGAGTTCAAATCTGGCCTCAGATCAAACACTTGATGCTTACTAGCTGTGTGACCCTGGGCAAGTCACTTAACCCCAATTGCCTAAAAAAAAAAATTAGAAAAAAAAAACCAATTGAAATCAAATGCTGCGAAATTATAACAATCTAGCTTGAAACCAAAGAAATGAGATGGTACCTCTGCTTCTTTGCAAATGTGGAGGAACGTGGCTATGGAACACTGCATTTAATGGCAAACTTTTTTGATATGTTGGTGTTGCTGAACTGTTTTCTTCTTTTAAAAAAAAATAATGGTCTAAGGGATGGCATTCCAGGAGTAGCTCAGAGAGGGAGTATTATATTGGGAAATGTAGGTGTTATAAAAACAAAAGATAAAATACTTATTTAAAAGAAAGAAATGTGTATAAATTATATAACAGCATTGAAAGAGTTTTCAGATGCCAGCCATGGGCCTCTTGTAAGGGTCTACACTCCCTTTCTCCACCATACATCCACTCACTTCTCAGCTGTTTGCAATCTGGCTACTGACCTACTCCTACTCAAACAGCTCCCTCAAAGGTTACCATACATCTTAGCTGGCCAGATTCAATGGCTTTTTTCCAATCCTTACTGCGCTCAAGTCAACAAGCATTTATTAAGCCCCTATTATGTGCCCGGAACTGTACTTAAATAACAGGTATACAAAGAAATACAAAAACAGTACCTCATGGAGCTCACAACGGGCAAAACAACTATGTTTAAACAAGATATGTACAGGATACAGTAGAGATAATCTCAGAGGGAAGGCTACTACCAGAATTGAGGGAGATGAGGAAAGGCTTCTTGCAGGTGAAACCTGAAGGAAAGCGGGAAGCCAGAAGGCAGAGGGGAGGAGGGAGGGCATTCCAGGCATAGGAGACAGCCAGTGAAAATGTCCAAAGTTGGGAAGCGGAATGTATTATATAAGGAAGGCACAATAAAGAGGTCAGTGTCACTGGATCACAAAGTGGAGGGGAGGAAGGGTATATGAAGACTGGAAAGGGGGGGGGGCCAGGTTATAAAAGGCTTTAAAAGATACAGGATTTTATATTTGATCCTGGAAGTAATAGGGAACTATTGGAGTTTATTGAGTAGGGAGTGGGGGTGACATGGTAAGCTGAATTTTGTTGTTTTTCTTTTCCCCCTTAACCTCTTTAGTAACTCTTGAGATAGTTGGCTATTGGTCTCCTGGTCTGTTCTCTCCTCCCTTGGCTTACAGGCCGTTTCTCTCTCCTGGTTCTATTTTGACTTGACCATTCCTTCTCAAGTTTCTTCTCCTGGTTCACTGTCCATCTTACTCATACATGTGATTTTCCCCACCCCAGCTATGTCCTGGGACCTATCTATATGTTTCAGTTAGCCCACACGTTCAATAAACACACACTTTTAGGAGTAATAAAATGATTTATTTTAAGAGTCCAAAGTTTATTTGTAAACAGATACAATTATCACAGAATTAATGACTTTAACAGTACTGCTCAAAAATAACTCTTTGTAGAACATGAAAAACTTTTAGCATTTACAAAGCACAGTGAATACAAGTCTGCCTTGAGAAGTACCATCCTCAAAGGATGAAAACAAAGCTGAGGTCAGGGATCTGGGAAATTTCAAATGCATTTTCACAAAATCTGTAAACAAAGCGAGAGTCTGAGAGAGATTGTTCAAGGGGCTGGCAGGAGCAATTGATCAAGAAACATTTATTAAGCATATGTGTGCTAGACACTCTTCTAAGCACTGGGGATACAAAGAGAAAGGGAAAATAGGCTCTGTCCTCAAAGAGCTTACATTCTAATGGGTGAGACAAAGTGTACATATATAGGCATACACAAGATCCATATAGAATAGGTACAAGATAACCTGAGCAGTGAAGACACTGGCAGCTGGGTGGTAGAGCTGGGGCTGGGAAAGGTCTCCTGAATGCGGCTGCATTTGAGCTGTATCTTGAATTTCGAAGAAGGGAAGGTAAAAAGGAAGAACATTTCAGGCAGGGAGAACAGCCAGTGCAAAGGTACTGAGATGGGAAATGGCACACTGTGTGTGAGGAATAGGAAATAGGCCACTATGGCTGGACTACAGAGGAACAAGGTGTCACAGAGTATGAGACGGGGTGCAACCAGTGCTAGAAAAAAGGACCAGGGATGCAGAGTCTCAGGGCTGCCTTTCTTTTTCATTCATACCAAATTAGCAGGTTTATTTACTCTCTGGTCCAGTCTACCCAGAAACCTGCATCATTTAAAAGGCATGGCTAAGCTAAACTTTACTCTTTCCACTGGAGAAATAAGGGATTATGGGTGTGGTGGAATGTTGCATACACTGTCCCACTCAGTTGGTTTTGCTTAAATGGTTTTTTCTCATAAGGGAAGGCTCACTGAGTGGGGGTGGGGTGGGGTGGGCAGAGGAACAGATAGATATAGAAACAAGTAAAAACAACCAACATCAAAGTAAGACTTTTACAAATACAACAATTTGTGAAATTAGGGCTGTGGCAATTTCCACTGACTTTTGAATAGATGTTGGCCAGGAGTGGGCTAAGCCATCTTTCCAAAGAAAGGAGATGGTCTGTCTGTGCAGGGGGCAGGACTCAGGCTTTGCAGCTTACTGTCAGCCCTCTGAAAGAATCATCATCCTTCACAGGCAAAAAAAAAAGCCACCCCACTCCTTCTGAGGAGATTGCTATGGCTACATGTTCCAGCTTCTGCTGGTCAAGAGATGGCAAATTAAAATGCTATCATAGCTGTGCTCAGATTCTTGTGGTATAAAGTTGCCTTACAGGGAAAGGCAGAAGTTTACACTGGATCCATTCATTAAAATAAGAGAGCAGCAAGTTTGTAATTTCTTAAAACGTTACTCTGGGAATTCAACTTTTGTGTCTTCTTGGTCGTCGCTAAAGGTATTGGTTGGGAGGTTGTTGAAGTGGACTTCTTCTAACAGTGTCTCAAGGCGTTGAATTAAAACTCTTTTTTTAAACCTGAAAGTAGTTATAAAAAAAGATTCAGTCAACCAGCATATCATATTTTTGAAGTACCTTCTACATCCTAGGTGCTGAGGGGGATGTGAAAATTATTTAAGACGTGTTGGGTACCCAACTGGGGCCTTACTGACGCACATCAGTCCTTTTCTTCTTCCCGAGTTGATACACGCTCTCTGAAGTGACTATTCCCAATTTATATCCTAATCTTTCCCACGGATGACATCATCTCTTGCTTTACTGAGAAAATCAAGGTGATCAGGAGTCTGTCCTTACCTCTGCCTATCAGAACCCTTCTCCTTCAGGGCTCAACACAGGTGGCGACCTCTACACCAAGAAGTCTTCTCCAATCCCCCAATTTATCACTGTTCTCTCCTACTTCAACTTTGTATTTATTTATCTGTATACGAGATGTCAACATCTCGTATACAGATGCAATAGTCCCCTGTCAGCTCCAAACTGATGATACTGAGATCTCAAATAAGGAAAAGGGGTATTCAGGTCAAGAGACTGCTTGGGTTAACCAAGTTACCATATGTATTATATTTGGAGATTGAATTGAATCTGTATCATCTGGAGGTCAAATCCTGGAATTGACTCTTCTGCATCCCTATCTTCTGTGCTTTGTTCCTCTTGTAATATGCCAGAAAACCTTACTTATTCTTGTTGGCTGAAAATGAGAATATCTTATAGTCATCATACTGGTAGAAGTATAGACCTTGGGTTTCCCCTCAAATATGGCTTGTATAAAGCCTGAGTGTGGGTTCTTTTTCAGTGTATTCAACCAATCAGCAAGCATTTATTAAGCATCTGCTATGTACCAAGCACTGGAGACACAAAAGCAAGATGAAAGATTCTCTGCCCTCAAGTAGCTTGGCTACATAGAGCTACAAGGAGCTCTCCTTCTAGGGATGTACTCTTTAGTCCAATGAGCACAATGTCTCATGCCTCCCAACATAAATCGACATTCTTGTTAGGAGCTCAACAGGTTCGCTCAGTGCTCTTTAAAAAGGGAGCTTGAGGAAGCAGAAAGAACACTGGACTTGGAAGATGAGTCTGAAGCCTGCGTTGCCACTCTTCCTCCCCTGCCCCAGGCTTCTAAGGCATCTTTAGTTATGTGACCCTGTGCAAATGACATAGCCTCTCTGACTTACTCAGATGTAAAATGGGAATACTATCATCCATATCATATTGTTTGCCTTCTCAAGGGATGGGGGTGGGGTAAAAGAGAGGGAGAGAATTTAGAACTCAAAAATTAAAACAATCAGTGTCAAAATTTTTAAAAATGTAATTGGGAAATATTTAATGAAATAAATAAAGATATATTTAAAAACAACAATAGGGATGCTAGTTTTTATGTTACCTGCCTTACAGGGCTGCTGAGAAGAAAAATACTTTGTGAAACCATAAGCATAAGTTTTGATGAGTCTGCCACTAGCATCAGCTTATAAAACTGGAAAATAAAGCTTGTAAAGGAATTCATTAATAATAATAGCTGGGACTGATAAGGAGGCAGTGAGGTGTCTCAGTGGATGGGGCCTGGAGTGAGGAAGATCCGAGTTCAAATCCAACCTCAGACACTTACTAGCTATGTGACCCTGGGCAAGTCACTTACCCTGCTTTGCCTCAGTTTCCTCATCTGTAAAATGAACTAGAGAAGGAAATGGCAAGCCACCCCAGTATCTTTGCCAAGAAAATCCCCAATGGGGTCACGAAGAGTCAGGCATGACTGAAGACGACTGAACAACAACAGCACTGATGTGCGCTTTCAAGTTTGCAAAGCTTCACGTAATAACTGTTATTTCATTTGACTCTCACAGTCCTGTGAGGTGGGTCCTATTATCATCGCCACTATAAGTACACAAAGGAGGAACTGCTGATAGTTTTAATATCTTCCACCAATGGTCACTCACAGGTTGTTGTTTGTCCAGGAAGGTGATGCCATGACTTCTAAGTGAACTGGATTTAAGTGAGGGAGAGCTGTGCAAAGTCACCAGCCTCACTTTCTCCTTCGAAGCCATCTGGGTCCAGTGGCCAGATTTGATCAGGATGACTGGAGGTGACCCCAAAATGGTCACCATAGTACTTTAAGAAAGGCTCTTACAGTGAAATCTAGAGGTGGGCCTTTCTGCCTCTGAAATCTTGGCTAAAGACTCTGGTACTGGCTCTGCCTCTAATCCCTTTCTCCACTCTTTTCATTATCTCTGCCTCATGGCTGCAGTTTGGATCCTGGTGAGGACAGAAAATTCCTGGAGGGCTTCAAAAGCACTTAGTCAAACTGGCTGTGATGCTGGATCACAGAATGTCAGAGCTCAAAGGGCCCATAACCACCCTCTAGCCCAACGGCCTCATTTTAGAAGCTAAAACAAAGGCCTAAAGAGGAGAAAGGACTTGCCCAGAGTGGCACAGGCAGTAAGGGCCAGAGATGAGGTCTGAACTGTGCTGGGCCACTCCAAATCTAGTTCTTTTTGCACTAGATCCAGGCTTCCTCTCAGGCTCCTGCTCAGCCGCTTGGTGGTAAAGGGAAGCGGGATGAAGGTGGAGTTAAAAGCCATCAACCCTCCGTGCCCCAACCCTGCCCCTGCCCTGTCCTTGGCCGGTAAGGCCTAAGCATTTCTGCTCAATACAAACCTTGCTGCCTCCTTGATTGCAACAAGAATCAAACGTTTCTGGGTTTCCACAGATCCGTGTAGTTTTTCAAGCAGAGTGAAGATCTTTTCATAATCTGAAGGCATTAAAAACACATTAAAAACACAGGGTTTTCTGTATGGTTTTTTTTCCTCTTAAAGCACTGAAATTGTTGTTGAATTCAAGAAAACTAGAGCTAAGGAAAAGCCATGAGCTCAGCTAGCAGCAGGGCCAGTATCTGGGCAAACCTCCTTTTGTTTGCTTTCAAGCTAAAGAGTTTTCATATATTTCAGGAGCACCGCCCTCCTGGGGGCTCTGGTGAGGATCAAATGAGATAACGTTTGGAAAGGGCTTTGCAAATGGAAAATTAAAAAATAAGAACAAAAACAAGGCTAGCTTGACATAGCTTATTATTGTTGTTATTCTTCTTTTTCTTCTGGTTATAGTGGATAAAGTATTAGGCCTCGAGTCGAATCTGATCTCTAACACTTCCTAGCTGTGTGACCCTGGGCCAGTCACTTCACCTGTCTGCCTCAGCTTCTTCATCTGCAAAATGGGAATCATGATAGCACCTCCCTCCCAGGGTTGTTGTGAGGACCAAATGATCATCCTAAAGCGCTTTTGCGCAGTGCCTGGCACACAGTAAGCGCTACGTAAATGTTCGCTCTTATTCTTATTCTTTTATACTGTTTTTCTTCTGATAGTATACTCTGTCTTGATAAACAGCATCATTACAAAATGCTCTATTTCAGACCCACATTTGGTATATTCCACGCACAGATATATATGAAAGATCTAGGACTTCCCCAGAGTACGGTTTTTCCTCCCTCAACACAGATTGCAACATAGTAAGAAGTCCAAGGAAGTTTGCTTGAGATACTACAAGAATCACGGGGCTGGTTAAGCTTCAGAAGCTAGATTTGGATGCAGGTTGTCCTGAATCCAAGCCCAGCACTCTGTCCACTACACCATGCCTCTGCTCTACGTTCTACTTAAAGAGATGGGCACATACTTCCCCAGAGTAGGACTTTGTCTCCCCCAACACAGATCAACCACAACGTAGTAAGAAGTCCAAGGGAGTCTGCCATTATTGATGGACATATCTTCAAAAATTCCCTTCCCTGCTTGCCATTAGGGAATGCATTATTATTATTATTATTATTATTAATTATTTTTTTTGCTATTTGCAACTGATGAAGCCATGTAAAAAAAAATGACCCACATCACTAAGATCAATGCAAATTAAAACTCTAAAGATTTCTCCTCATATCCAGTAAATTGGCTAAGTTGACAAAAAGATGGAAATAGTCACTATTAAAGGAGCTGTGGGAAAACAGGCACACAAATCCACTATTGGTGATACCATGAATCACTGCGCCCATTGTGGAAAACAATTTGGAAGTAGGCCAGCAAAGCTATTAAACCATTCATATCCTTTGATCCAAGCAATTCCACTACTAGGCATGCGGCCCATGGAGGGAAATGGCAAAGTTCCCACACAGACCAAAATATGGAGAGCATCTCTCTCTTTTGGGTAGCAAAGGACTAGAAATAAAGCTGGCATCCCCCAACTGGGGAGTGGCTGAAGTGATCAGGCAATGTGAAGGTAACGGATCCTATTGTTCTGCAAGAAATTATGAAAATGAAGAATTTAGAGAAACATGAGAAGGTTTGTAGGAAGTAGAGTCTAGTGGAAAAAGCAGAACCAGAAGGACTACATACACACTAATTGAAAAGAAAATAAAAGGCATCCGAACTCAGATTAAGTGCAATGACCAACCTTGGTTCCAGAGGGTAGATGATGAAACACACTTCCCTCCTTTTGACAGAGTGGTAGGGAATGTCACACAGGCTGTCAGACGTGGTCGTTGTGTTGGTTTTGTTTACCTGTTTTTCTTTTTTTACAAGGAAGGGCTCTATTGGGAGGGTGGGAGTGGAATATATGGGGAAGTGACTGTGATGTTTTAAAAAAGGCATCAATGAAACTGAAAAAAAAAAAAGAAAGGACTCCAAGAGGGGAACTCAGTGCTAGTAAGTGACCATACCTTGCCAAAGGATATGAACAGTTATTAAGAGAAGAAATGCAAACTATCTAAATCACCAATTGTTGTTGTTCGGCTGCGTCTGACTCTTTTGTGACCTGGTGGATAATAGCACACCAATGCTGGCCGTGGGGTTTTCTTGCCAAAGATACTGGACTGGCTTGCCATTTCTTTCTCCAGTGGATTAAAGCAGACAGAGGTTCAGTGACTTGCCCAGGGTCCCACAGTTAGTAAGTATCTGAGGCTGCATTTGAACTTAGGTCTTCTTGACTCCAGGCCTGGTGCTCTATCCACGGAGCCACAAAATGCACACTGAAACAATTCTGTGGTATCATCTCACATAGACCAAATTGGCAAATGCAATCAAAGACGGCAATAATCAATGTTGGAGAGGCCGCGGTAAGAAAGGCACACTAATATGGTTGGTGGGGCTGTGAAATGGTTCAGCTCTTCTGGAAAATAATTTGGAATTATGTGAGAAAAGTGACTAAGCTGTTCATACCCTCTGACGCAGTACCTCAAGGAGGTCAATGACAGAAATATCCTTTATGCACCAAAGTATTCATGGCAGCCAAAATCTGGGAACAAATTATGTGCTCACCAAGCGGTGGAACAGCTGAACAAACTATGGTACGTGAATCTGATAGAACATTATTGTGCTATAAGAAACGATGACTATGAAGAATTCTGAGAAACATGGGAAGACTTGTGAGAAGTGATGCAAAATGAAGCAAGAAGATCCGCGAGAACAAAATACAACAACATAAAGGAAAGACAACACCATTCAGATCAAATGCAATGACCAACGTTGACTCCAGATAACTGATATTAAAACACACTTCCTTCCTCTCTCTTAAGGAATGGGAAGCTGCAAGAGTAGAATGGTATATGCTTTGTCAGTCACAGTTGCTGAATCAGATGGTCTTGCTTAACAGAGATATAAGCAAAGCAAAGAAGAGCCATCCAAAGATGGGTTAGAACCTGACTATAGCAAATGACAGTTTTGTTTTTCCCTCATGGCAGCTATCGGCCCTCCATCAGTTACTGTGCTGACAGACTCTTTAAATACTTACTTCTTCCAGGCTTTCGCACCTCCTTCAGTATTTGAACTTTGAGACTAGCTTCAGTTTCCTCCTGTGGGTTATTTGATGAACTGGACCCAGATGCGGAAGTCGACTCTGCTGCTGCTGCTTCTGTCGTTGTTGCTGCTGCTGCTGTTGCTGCTTCTGTTGTTGCTGCTGCTGCTGCTGTTGTCGCTGCTTCTGTTGTTGCTGCTGCTGCTGCTTCTGTTGTTGCTGCTGCTGCTGTCGCTGCTGCTTCTGTTGTTGCTGCTGCTGCTGTCGCTGCTGCTTCTGTTGTTGCTGCTGCTGCTGCTGTTGTCGCTGCTGCTTCTGTTGTTGCTGCTGCTGCTGCTGCTGCTGCTGTTGTCGCTGCTTCTGTTGTTGCTGCTGCTGCTGCTGCTGTTGTCGCTGCTTCTGTTGTTGCTGCTGCTGCTGTCGCTGCTGCTTCTGTTGTTGCTGCTGCTGCTGCTGCTGTTGTCGCTGCTGCTTCGGTTGTTGCTGCTGCTGCTGCTGCTGCTGCTGTTGTCGCTGCTTCTGTTGTTGCTGCTGCTGCTGTCGCTGCTGCTGCTGTCGTTGCTGCTGCTGCTGCTGCTGCTGCTGTTGTTGCTGCTGCTGCTGTCGCTGCTGCTGCTGTCGCTGCTGCTGCTGTTGTTGCTGCTGCTGCTGCTGCTGTTGCTGCTGCTGCTGTCGCTGCTGCTTCTGTTGTTGCTGCTGCTGCTGCTGTTGTTGTCGCTGTTTCTGTCGTTGCTGCTGCTGCTGTCGCTGCTGCTTCTGTTGTTGCTGCTGCTGCTGCTTCTGTTGTTGCTGCTGCTGCTGCTGCTGCTTCTGTTGTTGCTGTTTCTGTCCTTGCTGCTGCTGCTGTCGCTGCTGCTTCTGTTGTTGCTGCTGCTGCTGCTGTTGCTGCTGCTGCTGCTGCTGCTGTTGTTGTCGCTGTTTCTGTCCTTGCTGCTGCTTCTGTTGTTGCTGCTGCTGCTGCTTCTGTTGTTGCTGCTGCTGTTGTTGTCGCTGTTTCTGTCATTGCTGCTGCTTCTGTTGTTGCTGCTGCTTCTGCTGTCGCTGCTGCTGTTGTTGTTGTTGCTGCTGCTGATGTTGTTGCTGCTGATGATGATGTTGTTGCTGCTGCTGCAGCAGCACTTTGGTCATCTGGGGAGACGCTGCAATTTCCAGATCCTCTACCAACTGTGTTACCAGCAGCTGTACCGACTAACCGACCACTCAAGCTATTCAACTCGTTGAGCAGAGAATCCAAATCACTTCTCAGAATGCTAGCTTCATCCATAGCTTCAGCTGACTGTGATGATGAACTAGCTGGAAAACGATCATCTTCCAACCTTTCTTTGCTGTCATCTGGGCCTACACTCGCATCTGGAAATCACATTAAGATATGGAATTGAGAGAGAACTCATTGGGTCACAAAGTTTGGTTCCTCATTTAGGGGCAAATTACCACCAGTTATTACTTTCTTCAAATGCAAGAGGATAAAATGAAACCAGCCAATTAATTCAAGTGACTTATGGTACAAAAACCTCTCAACAAATGTAACTCAAATTCAAGAGGATGATCCTAACCACCTTTTCCTTTTGCACGATGAATATTTACAAGCGGTAGGTTTCCAAAAAGAGAAAAAAAAAGTCCGCCATTTATTTGTAAGTACCTGGCTTACAATCTGCTGGCTTCATGTCTAATCCTTTGCGTTTTATAAACTACAAAAAAAAATGTGGAACTGTACTAGTCTGCCTCAGAATGTTTTAACTTCTCCACTGCAAACATAAATTGTCAGAGGCTTGTTGCTTACGCTGAAGGATTATACTAAGAAATTGGTGAAAAGGAAAAAAACAATAGTATCTACAGGATATACAGCCTGAGGGCTACGGTGCAATAGAAAGTGGCTCCTGTGTCTGACATGGTGCGGGCTGACAAAGCACCCAGAAGCTTTAGGGAAGACTTGTTAATGATCTTCACTCATTCTAAGGAATGATAACTATTTATTTGGGGATTTGGGTAGATTAGAACAGAGAGGAAGAACAAGATGATCGTGAGGAAGAATCATCACTGCTACCAAGATAGAAAGGGGCGAAGAGTACTTGAAAGACAACAGCAAGGGCAATGTTGACTACTGCTAATGGCTACGTACTGAGTGTGAACAAGTACTAAGGCAGGACACGTCCAGGACTGATGACTGAGTGATATATGAGGGAAGAGCAGCATCGGGGATGATAGGACAGGGCAATATGGAACACAGGTCCCTAGATGTAAAGCTGGGAGGGACCTCAGAGGCCATCTAGGCTGGTCTTCTCATTTTACAGACAAGGAAACTGAGGACCAAGCAGGTAAAGTGACTTGTCCAGGAAGTGGTAGAGTGAAGATTTTGTGTGTGTCTGTATGTATGCATATACATATATCTTTGTGGATATACACACACACAAAGGTATATATGCGTAAAAGCCCTGTGTTCAGACCAGGACCTAGCAAGTGCCCTAAACAAAGGTGCTTAATAAATGCTTATTGAATACAAGGGTAAACTCGAGCTATGTTAGAGCCATAAGCTACTTGCCAGAGCTATGTGCAGACAACACATGAAGAGTGTACTCAGCCATCTCCTGGTCACTGTACAGCTTGGGAAGGCCAAGATGGGAAGCAACAACATTGCTCTAGAAAGTTTCAAGTCTAACTCTTCTGGAAGGCTCAGGGAAAATGGTCATCAGCCTAGAACTATGAATATACCTTTGCATAATAGGGTGGGTCTTTTGTGAACTGAAGATGACACCACTGAAGAGGCTGATGGCAGTTCCTTTCCACTGGTGGTTGCAGTTTGTGACTTCTTTGATGGAGAGGATGGGGACAAGATTCGTCTTTTCTTCGGGGATCCCACAGAGTGACATTCTCCCAAGCACTTAACTTTGTGCGGAGGCCCTGTCACAAACTCATCAGCTTCATCAATAATCACCCCCTAAAAAGCATCAACAGATGAATTCCAATAGGAAACAAAAATAAAACAACACACCATGCAATGCAACACACTGCCCAAGCCATTCCATTTGGGTTTTATATTTTGCCTCTTTACACGAAACCCCAATTGGATGCACTGGGGAACTGTGCTTTGATGCTTCTGCTCATACGTGTTTAAACTTCAGCCAAGTATAGCACGATTTTCATATACTCATTTGGAATATGGTAACCACTTGATTATCCACGATCAGTTTTAATCCAACACTATGCCCAGGGAAAGGCAGACTAGTTTGACCAATCATCTAAATGAAATAAGGGAGAATGTGAATTTGTTGCAAAATATATAGGTAGTACAATCGAAAGCCATGTGCATTTGGGAATGAGATATATTCTGGTTAACCAACATTTTTTTAAAATCAAAATCCATTTAACTGTGCACTAGCTCTTTTAAGCAACATAGTCCTATTTAAAAAAAAATTTTTAATTTTCAATTTTTACTTTTTTAACATAGTCCTATTTTAATCCTTGGGGTGTACTATTATTTCCAAATGTATCAGTATCCTTTTCTGGCTAATTAAGCATAAGCTCATAAATGTAATTTGGTTGTGCTGATTCAAGGTTTTAAAAGCAGTCCCCCCCTCTTGAAGTTACGATAAAGAAAATCAATAATCATGGTACTGATCTTTAGCTGTAGATGACGATCAGACTCCTTTACCTGGTAACGAGGTCCTCTTAAGGTTGGTGCAGCCCTATCTAAATTCCTTCCTTTCGTTGAAAGCCATTTGTTTAAATGTCAATCACTGCAAGATTAAGTTGAACTGTGCTGATTTTTCAGTACTTCTTTGCTACGGGCCTTCCTCTAGCTCTCCAACCATTGTATACACACCAATGGATCACGTGGGTTATCCACCAATTGACCCTAACTCTCCCAACATGAATAGTTAACTTCCTTTTCTGGTCACATTTCTGATTCTTTTTTTACATACAACTTCTCCTGTGCAAGTAGTTCGTAATATTGCTGCCTATTCACACCCACCATGTATTGCCCCATTGCTTTTTGAAAGACCCTCAGGTTTAATTCTTCAGAGACTGTGGTATGCTGACTCAGAGCCGTATAGCATCATTGGAAGAATACTGATGTCAAAAAGGCTTATTGAAAGCACCATGCAGTTTTTAAAAGGCAATCCAGCCTGTTTTCTTCTTGTTCATTTCTAGGCCCATGCCATAGTCCATTTGTAGTGTCTGTCTCAAGATATCTACACTGATGGACAAGCTCCGTGGGCTGTCTGTCGAACTGTATATCATAGTCTGACCATAGACATTCCTCACCCACCTGATTTTTCTTATATTGGATTAGGCCAAGTTGTTCTAAATCTTATAGGACTTTGAAATATATTGGAAGAGCATCCTTAGGGCAGTGCCTTGCACTGCTGAATCAAACTTTCTTTAAGTCAACAAACAAACAGGCAAACAAACACAGGAATATTTTGTATTCTCTAAACCTTTCAGTCAATTATGTGGCTGGAAAGATGTGATTGGCTATAGCATATCTCTCAAGAACGTACCTTCCTCTTGCCTCTAAAAACCAAAAAATATTATAAGGGGCAGCTAGGTGGCGCTGTAGTGGACAGATAGCTGGCCCTGGAGTCAGGAGGACCTGAGTTCAAATTCAGCCTTAGATGCTTACTAGCTATGTGACCTTGGGCCCTTAACCCTGATTACCTTAAAAAAATTACCTCCAAAAATCCACCCAAAAACAACAAAAAAAAAAACCCCAAAAAACCAAAAACCAAAGACAAAAAAAAGAACACACCTTCCACTCCTTCTGACCATATCTCATATAATCCCCATCTGCACACTTGGTGCTCCAGCCAAACTTGTCCATTCTGTCCCTAAATTGGGTTATGTGTCCTCCTGTTCAGCCTTCTCTAGGAAGGTTTCTGGGGCCTATGTGGGGCAGCAACAACTTTCCACAGGGCCCTCCCACACTATTTTCTGGAACAACTCTAAGTGCCCCAGGCAACTCTCTGAAATCCCAAGGAACAGTTTATTTGTTCACCTGTGTTTGGGAAAGGGATTTTCATAGCAGAATTCCCTACCCCAAATGAAATCCCTGATCTTGGACCCAAATAAAAGAACTAAATCCATATAGATGTGTCTTATTTCTGTCCTCCCCACTAGACCTAAAGCTCTGTGGTGGCAGAGAATGCATCTTATGAAGATTTTCTATCTCCTGCAGAGCCTAGCACAGTGCTGGGGTACACAGCAGCCACTCTGTATATACTGAGTGCATGGTGAAGGACAGTTGGCTATTCTATACATCTGGGCCATCGAGTTATTGTAAGAGGTCCAGGAATCTACTATCTGAGTCTATAAATAAGTAAACCTACCTGCTTTTGACTGCATGTCTCACAAATATGCATTACTATTTTACAAATGCATGTAGGTGCAGTCGTGACTGAACAAATGAAAATTCATTTAAAAGAATTAGTGACATCACGGTAGTCTTCTGTACATTCTGAACCACCAGATCCTAATAGTAAAATAGTGCCACAGGACTCTAGTACAATGTGGGACTTACACTGTGCTTCACCGTTAAAAAAGGGTCTTCATACTTGCAAAGGTTGGGAACAACTGAGTAAGAGACTGGGCTGAAACTGTATTAATCCCTGGGTATACTGGAGAGATTGCTTTGGGGAATAAATTCCCATTATAAGGATTTTTCTTTGGCATTTTCTCTTTCATAAAAGTTGGATGCAAGGGTGGGGTGGGGTGGTGGAAATACCAATTGAGAGTTCTGAATACTTGGAATTTAATTAATTGGGGTTTTATTATAGAGACTATTGGTTGTTTGCGATTATTCATCCTATCGGTATACTCCATTAGCACAGATGAAAATATTACAACTAACTAAAACAATAATAAACAATGTTAGCATCTGTATGCCTTTTCCTTCTTTCTTCTCAGTTCCCTTTCTCCACTGCAAAAACTGTCTATAACAGGACCATTCATTCACTATGGTAATTCATGTTTAAAAGCCCCGTTTCCGTAAGGCCACCCAGCCAATACCAAGAAGGGCAATGCTTTGCAATAAACAAGCTGATGGCAGTGATCAGGAAACAACAGGATCCCCCCCACCCCCATCCCCAATTAGGGTCTTCTTTCAGCAGGAAAGTGATGGCAGTTCAGAGGTCATTTCTAGTCCTCCAAAAGTAAGATGGACAATTTTTGACAAATAAAGATCTCATCAAGAAAGATAATATGGAGAGGCAGCTAGGTGGCGCAGTGTCTGATAAAGCACTGGCCCTGGAGTCAGGAGGACCTGCGTTTTCAAATCTGGTCTCAGAGACTTACTTTAACTATGTGACCCTGGGCAAGTCACTTAACTCCAATTGCCTCCCCCCAGGGGAAAAAAAAATAAAGAAAGATAACATGGAGCATCTGTTTGGGCAAAAATGGGGCTGCTTCTCTTACCTTCTTATTCTGCTTGAAAGGATTTCCAAATGTATAAACTTTTTTCGATTGGTCTGAATCAACCTCCCGAAGTGGAGGAGGCATAGTCTTCAAATATTCCTTGTAGTTGCCCATTTGTATAATTGGAATACTGTGAGAGGAATCTGTGAGGATATGGAAAAAAGGCAAGGCCATCAGCAGCAGAGAATGTCTGAGTTAAAAGGGACCTCCAAGGCCACCTGGACCAACACTTCCCTGGACAAGAATCCTATCTAGGGGGCAGTTAGGTGGCACAGTGGATAGAGTTCTGGCCTTGGAGTCAGGAGGACCTGAGTTCAAATTCAGCTTCAGACACTTGATACCTACTAGCTGTGTGACCCTGGGCAAGTCACTTAACCCCATTGCTTAGCCAAAAAAAAAAATCCTATTTATACGAAGGCCAGTCTAATAATGTAGAAATCATCCAAATCTCGTTCTTGGGATCCACTCACCTTCATTTTGTCCAGCAACATTTGGGTGTGTGTTCAGCAGGCTGGCTCTCATTCTAGTTAGCTGCTCTAAAAGACAGTTCCGAGGAATGTCAAAAGGATTCTTGTACAGGTAAGGCTTTGTATCCTGTTTTAACCAAAGTGTGAGGAATGCTGATTAGGGTGGATGCTTTTCAGCAAACAATAAACTTAACTGTGTTCAAGTGGTTAAGAGTGATTTAATACAGGGGAGGAAATTTCTGATCCCTGGCCTTAACTCTGAAACTTCTCATGCATTCTTAACTATTACATGAAGAGAGCTTCAGAGAAACATAGGAAGGCTTTGCATGAACTGCTGTAGAATGAAATCAGTGGGAGCAAAACATGCTGAATCACGCATAACAATGAAAATGAAAATATCACTAAAAGCAAGTCAAACTCCAAGGAACTGAAAACCACTAATGGCCCAGGAGAACAGATAACTAGTTGAAAAAATGCCAAAAGTGGAATGACAGGGCTTGAGTTTCAATCCTAGCTCTGAGCCTCAGTTTCCTCCTCTTTAAAATGAAGGGCTAGAAGATTGCAATGGTTCCTTCTAGCCCTAGAGTGATGATCCTAGTTCCCTCTTCTAGACAGAGTAATAGGGGGATGTTAGGGCTGAATGTTGTATACACTGTCCGACAAGATCATTGGGTCTCTTTAACTTCTTCTTCAGGTACAGTTTTCCTTTGTGACAAGGGAGGGCTGAATTCTAGGGTGTGGGAGGGGAGGTGTACATTTCCAGAAAAGACTGAAAAAAGCATCAATAAAACTTATTTTTTAACGGAGTCCAACTGTTGGGAAAATATCCTTTTCGAAACAAGTCAGCAAGAACAGTCAATATCTAGATTTATTCCAGTTTCTAATTACGGCTTTCAAAGTAGATGCCAAAAAGCTTCCTGCAAAGCAGGATTTTTGCTATTTCAAATCTCAGGTTCTATAGAAAATATTCACGCCAATGTTTAAAGCTACCCTATTTCGGAGGACATGACCATCCTTTCAGTGCTTCAGCATTCTTCCCACTGTCCCTCGACCCCCAGTGCCAAATCCTACCCTTTCTACCTCCACACACCATCTCTCTGATGTAACCCTTTCTATCCACGCTCAGCCACCACCTTAGCTCAGGCCCATCACCTCTCCCCTAGATTACTGCAAACAGCCTTCACGCTGGTCTCCCTGCCTCATCTTTCCCTTCTCTGACCTATCTTCCATATGCTGCCAAAGTCAATTCAACACGGATCTGAACATGTCACACTCATACTCAACCAACTCCAGTGGTTCCATGTTGTCTCCATGATCAAATTTATAAACTTTCTATCATTCCAGTCTCAGTGGACATTATCTTCCCTCTTCCACTCTGTAATACAGCCCGAGTGGCTTCCTCTTTGCTGCTCATACAACACACCCCAACCTCTGACTCCTGTCTCAATGTCTTTACATTGACCAGTTCCCATGCCTCTCTTCTTCCATCCAACTTCAAGAGCCTCTTCCTTGAAGATGCAACTCAGTCAGTCTGCTACATGAAGCCTTCTCTGATCCTCCAAAAACTGTTAGTGCCTTCCCTCCCAAACTACCTGGTCTTCAACCACTTTGGCTAGATTTGTATTTATTCACTGTGCATTTTTGTTCCAAATATTTCAGTTCTTGTCATCTCCCCTATTAGAATGTAAGCCCCTTAGAAGTAGGATTGTTTTCTTCTCCATACTGGTACCCCTGGTGCCTGGCAAATAGGAAGTATTTTGAAATGGTGGGTGATCACTTGTCGGGATACTTCACCTTGCTTGGGAGTGATAACCCGAGGCCGGAGAGTTGTTTTCTATTCATCTCCATCAGGCTAACGCGAGCTTCAGTTGAGGTTGTAGGTTGTGGGTGGAGCTTTAAGTTAGCATCAGAAATGGGGTAGCCAGCAGCGAGAGTTTTCAGTTTGATTCCACCCTCAAAGGGAGGCTTCTTGCCCACCAATGCATTCCTTCTCTCCGACTCAAGTTTGCTCTAAAAGAAAAGCATATAGCATGTGGAAACAGACTTACTTTATCTCTGTTTAGTTAACAATTCCTAAAGAATACTTTAGGAGGCCCCCAATTTCCTTTCCCCTTCCACATCATTATTATTATCTTAAATGGCTGAAACAACAGACAATCATGTGTTTCTTCTAAGGCAACCATTCCTTTCCATGCTGTCAACGACACCTAAAACCACTGAGTAGGAGTGGTGCTGCCCAGTGGGGTGCAGAAAGACAAACGTCTTCACTAACAAATGGTTTAACTTCCAATCTGGGGTCTCATAGTCAAAGACTTCAGAGAACTTTGAGGTCATCTTAGCCAGCCAACAGAGCAGGAAACCAAAGCCCAGGGGAGCTGAATGACTGCCCATGGTCACACTAGCAATAGTGACCTTGTAGGGAGCAGAGGTGGGATGCCCACCCTGCTCCCCTGACTCCAGGTCCAGCAATTTCTCCAAAGCATTCACACTGGGAAAACACTACAATTTAATCATAAGAAGAAAAAAAAATCACAAGAGAAAAAATTTGGTTCACACAAACTTTTTAGAATGTCGTTTGATTGTTTTTTAGTCAGGCGTATCCAGCTCTCTGTGACCCTATTTGGGGTTTTCTTGGCAGAGATGCTGGAGTGGTTTGTCATTTCCTTCTCCGGCTCCTTTTACAGATGAGGAAACTGAGGCAAACAAGGTTAAGTGACTTGCCCAGGGCCCCACAGCTAGTGGCTGAGGCCAGATTTGAACTCAGGCTCTAAACCAAAAGGCTAAGCTTCTTCAGCTAGTATTTACTATTTAGATCAAATGGAATACACTTAAGATTCACCTATCAATTCCTTTTAAAAAATAAACTGGATCTGTGACTTCCTTAGCATAGGATGAGGGAAGAACATTCTCTGTCAATGCAAATCAGCACCTTTTCTCCAATATCTACAGCCTTGGAGAGTTATCTGAGGCTCTGAGGAGTTAAGTGACTTGCTCACAGTGACGTGACCAGTGAGTGTTAAAGGGGGAAAGTTGGAGATTTCCATTTTTCAAACCAACTTTTGCTTGAAAACAAAAGGTTTGAGAGAAACACTCACTAATCCTCTTTTGCTAGACACACTCTATGTCTTCTAGAAATCTAAGCTAGGTGCCACCAGAGTACACAGAGCACTGGGCCTGGAGTCAGAAAAACTTGAGTTCAAATCCAGTCTCATATCTTTAGCGGCTGTGTGATCCTGGGCAAGTCACTTAATTTCTGTCTGATTCAGTTTCCTCACCTGTAGAATGGAGAAAATAACAGCACCTACCTCAAACAGCACCAAACTCAAAGGGTTGTGGTGAGGATCAAGCGAGATCGTATTTATAAAATGCTTAGCGTAGTACTCAGCACACGGTAGGCATTTAGTAAATGCTTATTCCCTTCCCTTTTCCTGTCATGTTCAGTAGATCACCAAGGAATTCTGAAGACTTTGCAGCTTGGCGAGTGCATTTTGGGTAATGGTAGTCAATAGCCCCTATTGGAATTAAGTATGTCCCCAGGGTGCCTTCTTGACTCTCTGGACTTTCCCTACTATACCAAAGAAACATCTCCACCCTGGAAGGTCACTATGCTCCTGAACTTCTCACAGCCGAAACACCCTCTGCCCCTTCTGCTTCTTCTTCTGATTGTCTGGTTCCTCCCTGAATCTACATTTTCAGGAGATTCACTGAGTCTGGGCCTCAATTTCCTGACATAAAATTTCCTATAAAATGGGAATGTGAAGCAATGAGGTGGAATGGAGAGAGGGTCACCTTTGGAGTTAGGAAGACGCAGCCTCTGAGACAGACCAGATGTGTGACAGCGTCCCAGGAGGCAACACACTAAGCTAGCAAGTGACAGATGGGGGGAGGGAGTTTCTACACCACAGCCAGAGGTCTGGAATCAACCAAAATTAAACCAAACAAGGGATGCTCTAAGCCAGAGCTTAGAAACTAGATCTAAGGTGAGGGAAAAAAAGTGGCCCACCAGACTGGTTCTGCCAAGCGTCCAACCCTCTCAGAACACTGGTGGCTAGTACAAACTGGCAGTGGAAGGGAGGAATAGATGTTAGCACATGTTACTAACAAATTCCTAATTGCACTGTAAGGGGCAGTGATAATTTCATTGTCAATAATCTAGAAAATACAGATATATACATATTTATAAAATCATATTGAAATTAGTGAATAAGAAAATGCACTTCCAAGGGCAAAGCCTTTTTTTGGTTTACATTTACAATTTTAAAAAATTAAAATTAAAGGTACAAATACTACCTGCTGGGTGAGTTTCTTAAGGTAAGAGATGATGCTGTAACTAAGTCCAGAGTCTAAATTTTCTGTTAGCACATTGGGAGCTCCCATCATCCTTAGTGCTTTCTTTAATGGCTATAAAGAAACAAAATACACCATGGTGTGAACAGAGAGAAACTTAAAATACTTCAAAATTCAGTTCAAGGACATGGTTTAACTACTCAGAAGTAAAAATAAATACTTATGCACAGAGCTACACATGAGACATTATGGAGTAATGCAAATTAGAGAGGACAGAAGCAGAGGAAAGTACAGGAAAGTAGAAACACCAGAACAGAGGGGAGAACAACTTTAAACTGGCTCTCTGTCTCCAAGCCCTGGTCCCTAAAGTTATTCCAGAAAAAGTCAAAGGTCATGATGCTTGTTTTCTTTTCACATACAAACCAGTGAATGGATAGAGGGGCCTAATTTTCAGGTTTCTCCAGTCAATCCTGGAAATGAGTTAGATGATGAAATTCATTTAGCCTGTCTATCCCCACTTACCATATTAGAATTGAACAAATTCTCATAACCAGTTCCCTACTTTGAGGCCTCAGTTTGTAAAAAGGAGAATGGGATAGACTAGGCAGCTTCTTGGCAATCCTCGCCCTCCCTGGTCAAGCACCTAACATGGTACCTTACACACAATTAAGAATGAATGTGTGTTTGTTTCAAGACAGCAGGTAAAACCCCAATGATACATGCACAGTATGTGAATACGAATAAGTTTATTCTTATAATCCAAAGGAGATGGTCCTAGTCCCAGAATGTGAGTTTTACAAACTAAACTGAGGACAGCCATCTTAAAATCTTCATGGCACCAGAAGACAAATTAAGAGGCACAAAAGGCAAAAATCTCATTTAGTCCAACAGTAGAAAAGCTGTATTTTGTTCCTTTATGCCATTACAAATTATTGCATACCCCTCCAGTTGCTATGGTGGGTAACATGGAGAGGAATCACACTGCCTGTCAACAGCTCATATGTCACTGCTCTCTGGGACTAGTCACCATCTCTTTGAATTCATATATACACACATACACACACACACACATATATGTATATATATGCATATATATATATATATATATATTACATACTGGTAGGAAGTATGCAGGCATGGATTTTATGTACTCATCAAACTCCTGCTGCCACTTTGGGCTTGGATTAAGCTTGTGAACCTTGAACAATTCATCTATTATGGGAAACAAAATGAGAAAAGATTGCATTATCCTAACTGTGAGTTTCAACATCTATTCAAATGAGCAAATCCGTATTGTCGTCATGTTCAGAGCTGTGACTGGGAATTCTTGTATCTGGGCAAATTGAGTTGGGGGAAGGGTGAGCCTGGAGAGAGGGGTACCATGGCAACAGGAGGCTGGGAGTGATGGTGACGCTGGTGGAGGACTGAGAGGAAAAGGGATGGATGGTGGGTCAGCGAGGCTCTGCTCTAATTGGTTTTGATTAGGACTGAAATTCAGAGTGATGCCTTTACATAATACGGCATTTCTCTCATTAATGCTCCAATTTTAAAGGTCAAAGAATAAAAAATTACATTCTCTGATAGCGTGTGAAAAAGAAAATGCTCACAGACTAAATGAATCTATGAATTCATCTCAATCAATTTGTGCCATTACAAAAATCATGACCCACCCCTCCTCCTTTCTTTAACTTAAATTTTATAATTATAATATATATTTCACACCAAATTAATACTGGCCTAAGGAACTATGTCAAGGATCTATTGAAGTTCTGAGGAGGAAGGGCCCTTCTAAGCTCATCTAGTGCCACTGTTTCATTTTACAGAAAAGAAAACTGAGGCCCCAGAACTTGCCCTAGGCCACACAGCTAATAAGGGGCATGGTGGGACCTGAAGCCCGGTTCTCTGGCTCCAAATCCACTCTATTTCAGCCACCTTCCTATATCCCACCTGAGAACTCAGACCTGGACAAATTAAGCCATGCTTCCCTTGGAATAATACCGAGCAATTAAATCCAAATGAGGGTTGGGTCTCAAAAGACAAATAAATGACAACAATAAACAAACCAGAACCCCATACACGCACCCCCAATTCATTCCGTAGTTAGGCCAGTGTCTCCCAACAGATTTATAATGGATAAATCAGTAGTTGTGCCAATCTTCTGCATCTTTATCCTGCTCAGTTTAATTGGTTTGAAAGATTCGATATTTTTACCCAAATGTCCTAACTTGTTTTTGCTGATTTGAGAGGTGAAAGGCACCTCTGAGGTCACTGAGTCTAAAGCCCTCTTTTTAAAGAGGAGGAAACAGTCTCTGCCCACACAGTACCTCTCACATCCATATCTATCTCCTTCCCTCTTCACTCCCATGGCAACCACTCAAGCACAGGGCCTCATTCCCATTAGCCTGACAATTGCAAGAGCTTCCTGACAGAACGCCTAGCCTCTAATCTCTTCTCTCACAAATCCATCCTATACGCCACTATCAAAGTAATGGCAATGCACAGGTCTAATCATGTAACCCTCCCCCCTTTATTTCAAAATGGCTAATGGCTCCCCACTGCCTACCCCAATTAAGTTCACCTGCCTAATATTTAATGCCCTTCCTCATTTTGAATCGTCTGGGCTGAAAGGGACCCTTTAGTCCAAATCAGGCTCGATTATTATCGACAACTAATTAATCCACGGTATTGATACAAAGAGCAATTAATTCACAGGATTGAGACAAAGAATGTTACCTAAACTATAATTTATCAACTGCCTTTAGCACAACTGAAATTGCTATTAGAAAATCAGCAGTTGTTATCCTTAAAGTTACATCATTCTATTTTTCTATGACCAGGTAGGTTTGCCCTGAATGTCAACAAAAGGAAGGGGTCTTTCAAGCTTTTTGGGAATCCATCAGTCACAGATTTTGAAAAATTTTTGATAAAAATTCATGAAGCCCGGGGGCACAAGTGTACATACAAGAAGGGTAAGGGGCAACCCCTCCCCCAGCAGAATGTGAATTGTTGGCACCCAGTTCTCAGAAACAGGCTGTTACTTGTCGACTGGATTACCAAAGGAAATGGCTAAGCAACAGATATTTATTAAGTGCCTACTATGTGCCAGGCACCCTATTAAGCACTGGGGACACAAAGAAAGGCAAAACCTTGGTCCCTGCCCTCGAGGAGGAGACAGTGGAGGAGAGAGCATGTAAATAATGATGCATATACCAGATTCAGGGCACTAGTGGTTGGGCAGGAGGGTGAGGATAGGTACAGCCTCCTGCAGAAGGTGGGATTTGAGCTGAATCTTAAAGAAGGTCAGGGAATCTAGGAGGCTGAGGCCAGGGGGTCAAGCATTCCAAACATGGGGGATGGGATGTCACCTGTGGGAGACAGCAAGGTGGCCACTGCAGCTGGACTGGGGATGGGAGTCAAGAAAGAAAGGTCAGAAAGGGCTAGACTATGAAAGGCATCCTATGCCCAAGAGGCTGTTGTACGTGATCCTAGAAGTAATAGGGAGCCACTTGATGTTACTGAGTAAGGGGGAACATGGTCAGATTGACACTTGTAGAAAATCCTTAGCACCCAATAAAATCACACAGATGTCCTAGTGAGAAGGCACAGTCTCCAAATTTTTTCCTTTAGAGTTCTGCCTTGCTATAGTTATTTTCCCCCAAGGAAAATTCCTAGCCTGAAGGTTTTGCTTTTCCATTATGAAGCCAAAGAAAACGCTTAGGGTTTGCCTTTTCGCCAACTGATGAGACAGCACAATGCAGTGGTCAAAAGAATCCCTCAGCTAAAACTCTCATGCTAGTTAGTCAACAAGGAACAAGGTAGACTGATCTTCCATCAGAGAAGATGGGGACGTATGTCAGAGGCAGTGTTGGGGGGAGCTGCTTCTTTTAAACATCTGGCCACAAGAAACAGGCCCTAAGCCTGGAGCCCCCACAGCAATACCTGTTCTGGCCTTAGGAAGCCACACAAGACAGACAGGCACAGAGCAAGGACCTGAATCCTACCTTATCCAAACTTGTGTCCTACAGCAGAAGAGGCTGCCTTGGGAGGTAGTGGGGTCCTCCTTTTCCCTGCCACCCCCCCACTGAAGGTCTTCAGATATGAGCTGGAATAGATGGCTGCTGAGACCCCATCTAACTCGGAGAAGCAATGAGTCATTAACAGAGTTATGAGACCCCTCTGACCTAGACTGGTAGGGTTAGATCAGTATTCCATCATTCCAACCTCAGTGAATTGAGTACTTCAAACATAGACAATGGGGGACTTTTCTTTTTCTTCCATTTGCAAGGCAGTTCAAAAAACCACATTTTACTTACCTAAAAGTGGCAGCAAGACAGGGTAGTTGTAAGGCAGGACAAAGAGATTGACACATGTTAAGGTACTGCTTGCCTTTAGGTACCCAAAGGGGTGCTCCAGTTCGCTGTGCTTCCCACTGTTAGCCACAAATACCTAATGGGAAGACAAAGGAAGGAACTGTCACGAGTGAGAAAGGCCTTCCTGGTTGGGGAGTGCCCAGGGCCCAGCAAAAGCATACATTCCGGAGATAACATAGGAAACCAAAGCCGAGCATCATGCTGAAAAATCCTAAGACCAGCCCTCAGCTGTCAACAAAGTGCTGTCCCCAGTACCACCCGTATGAAGGAGGGAGTCACAGCATGATCACCCCTATTTTACGGCTGAAGAAACTGGGCTTCCCAAGAGGTGAGATGACTTTGCCCAAGGTCTCCCAGGGTTGGAGCCCAGGCTCTCGGACTCCGAACTCAGTACCCTTTGTACCACACCACACTGTCTCCTCCTACACCCAATTAAAGCCTCTTATGTTATTTCGGGCAGGGCATGTATATTTGCCATTAAAGCACTCTATACTCCCTCTCCTCGTCCTCACAAAAAGAACACGATTCCCAGGTTGAAAGATCCTGGGGAGAAGGGAGCAATAAGAAGGCGTTTGTTTAGATCAAACAGGAATTCTATTTCTCTTTCAGGCTGAGAAAATCAGCAAGTGTGGGCAATGGGAAAACTAATGGGTTTGGAATCAGGAACTGGGCTCGGAGCTCAGCTACGTGACCGTGGCCCTGGGCAAGTCCCTTTATCTCTCTGGGTCTCAGTTTCCTCAATCAACCAACCAATCAATCAACAAGCATTTATTAAGCTCCTACTATGCGCTGTACAAGGCCCTGGGGATATCAAGACCAAAAAGGAACCAGTCCCTTCTGAAAGGCACTTACATTCTCCTCTATAAAATTAAGGAGTGGACCAGGTGACCTCTGAGGTCTCTTCCAGCTCGAAACTCCTGATCTTAACATCACCACTCTATCACCATCCCATGATCCAGAATTCCTGACTTTCCTAATAAGGAGGTCCTCATATTACCCCCACAAACACACCAGCTGCCAAGTACTTCTCGGACGCCCCTCCCCACCCCGAGCACATCTGCTCATGGTCATAGGACCACAGATCTGCTGCTGGAAGGGACTGGAGAGGTCACCAAGTCCATTCTCCTCATTTTACAGAGGGAAAGAGTAACTCTACCTCCACAAGATTTCACACATCCTCACCCATCTCCCTTCCCTTCCCTTCATTCCCATGGCCACCAGCCTAGTCTAGGGCTTCCCACTATCCTGGAATAGCCATGGCCTCCTGACTGGTCTCCCAACCTCTAGTCCCCATCCTCACCAATCCATCCTACGCATCACTAGCAAAGTAATCCACCTACTCCATAAGGCTGATCATGTTATTTCCCTCCCCTTTACTCTACAAACCTGGCTCTCAATGGCTCCCCCCTGCCCACTCAATTTAGTCTAGACTCCTTCGCTTGATACTCAAAGCCCTTCGCAACTGCACAGAATCAAAGTTGGAAGGGAATACCCAGTCTAAACTGTGGCTGGACCAAAATCCCCCCACAGCATCCCTGCCAAGTGGGCATCCAGCTTTTGCTTGAAGACTTCCAGGAAAGGGAAAGTCTTTGAGCAAAGACTAGAAGCACAAGCCTACTGCCTTCTGAAGCAGCCCATCCCACTTCTGCCCAACTCTAATCATTGGGAAGTTTTTCTTCTTGGTGAGCTTTCCCCCACTGGTCCTAGTTCTGCCCTGTGGGGCCAAGCGTCTGATCCTCCTCTTGCACATACCAGCCCTCCCCAACCCTTGCCTTCAAGTTAAGGATTCTCAGCTCCTTCAATCGATCTGGATATGATAAGAGTCCCCGGTCTCCTCACCATTCTGGTTGCCCTCCTCTGGGCACTCTCCAGCTCGTCCCTCCTAAAATGTGGCGTCCTGAATTGAACACAACACTCCAGATGTGGTTTGACCAGGGCAGAGGGCAGCGCAACCATCACCTCCCACCTTCTGGACGCTACGGAATACCAAAATCTCCAAAGAATCAAAATTGCAGGTCACCCAAAGGGGGATGCAGAGACTTAGGATAGGCTTGAGTTGACTGAAGCATATTGCCAACAATCAATAGCATGGCTGGAAAAGGAGGTAGGCCGGTCATGTACTGAGGGTGAGGGCTAAGGGAGTGGACAATCGTTGTACTGGTGCCTTTGTAATATTAAAGGAAGGACCCAGCACCTTGTACAGGGTGGGCCCCCCAGGATATGTGGGAGGACACAGATGGGTTGGACAGGATGGACAGGCACAGAGGGGCTGTGATCCACACCACTGGAAGGGAGACCCATATCAATGAGACTGCAGGGTTAAGTATTTCAACTATACCCATTAGATTACAAGAAAAACTGAGGCATGCAACAACTTAAGTAGAAGACCCAAGCAGGGTTTAGTCTCATGATTGTCATGAAGAGGCAATTAGATGGCCCACACAAGGCTCAATCCAATGGGGAAACCACTTTTTTGGGTTATATCAGAATTGACTGCAGCATACCACAAATGGTTTATACTAATTCAGTTTCTCCAAATTTCTAACCCCTCATTCATCTCTTTTAGCCTTGCCAAATTTCCTTGCTTTTTACTCATTTTCCTATTTCCCTTTCTCTTCAGTACACATGGAATCAACTAGAAACAGCCTCTCCCCATACTCAAAACCAAAATAATGTATGATAGGAAAGATGGTTGTCACAAAAGGCTTTGCAAACCTCCAAGTGCTACCTAAGATGGGAGCTATCATCAGTATTATTATTATACAAAGGAACAAAATTTTTTAGGTTCATTTGCAGAGGACACATCAAAAAAAAAACAACACACAAAAAAGCTATATTTAAACCAAAAACATAATTTTGGGAAGGAGGGAAGGAGAGAGGGCTCAGGAGGACTGGACCTGTGATCCCATTTCCAGGGTATGGAATTTCCCTCCACTGAAGTATATCTGCAACTCAGCTCTAAGTTATAGTCTTAAAGAGAGTTGTGTAGGGCATAAAAGTAACACGCCCCCATGGTCAGAGACAGAAGGCATATGTCAAAGACTGGCCCTCTATCCTATATAATCTAACACAGTGCCTAGCACCTGCTAGGTGCATAATTAATTGCTTGTTGATTCATTCCATTAAGCTGCCTCTCAATGCTTCAGGACATTAATTCGGGGCACATGTTTTGCTTTTAAGTTAGCCTGACTCTGCCTGCCCCCTCTACATTTCTAACCCCTTTATCTGCTGTTTTCAAGCTCTTTTCCTTTGGCTAACAACTTTCAGTTTCCTGGGGGAATTTTTGACAGTTTCTCTAACTAGTCAAGGCAATTCTAAATCTTATGAAGGAGCTGTCCACTTGAAAATCTTTCCTTGGAAAAGAAGAGAGAGCCTCATCATCCCTGATCACTCAATAGTCTTACAGCATAGAAAGAGAAAGAGGGGATAATTGGCCAATTACAACTGGTGGTGAATTGATCTACTTATCACTAAGCTTTTTAAGCGAGGTGATGACATTACAGGGTAGATGTTACTCAATCATCTCCTTTCTTTTGCTAAGTACAACTGCTACCCATAACTCATAGATATGAGAGGCAGTATGCTATAGTGGCTACAGCACTGAACTTAGGAGTCAGGAAGACTTGGGTTTGAATCTTGCCTCGGACACTAGCTGTGTTACCCAGGGCAAGGCACTTAATCTCTCTGTGCCTCATTTTCCTCATCTGTAAAATGAGGATAATAAGGGCACCTACCCCATGGGGTTGCTATGGAAACCAAATGAGATAATGCATGCAAAATTCTTTGCAAACTTTAAAGCATTCTAGAAATGGGAGCTAGCTACCCCATGGGCAAAGATCCCACCATAGGCCCAGAAAGTTTCTATGCTGAGAGATCTCTGATGAGAAAATCCAGCTTCTCCAGCTGGTGTTCTTCTTCAACTAAGAACCATTCTACTGAACCAGGATTGCTGAGGTTGGAGACCATTAGCATAGAGCTGGAGGGGGCTCTGGAGATCACCTAGAGAGGTGAAGGGATTTGCCTGTGGTTACAAAGGGAGCAAGTGGCTGAGGCAGGATTCAAATCCAGATCCTCTGGATTGGCCTTTTCACTGAATCATTCTAGCTAAAGAAAGCTATAGGCACTTAAGGAGGAGTCAATGACAAGTCAGTAACAGTGAGGACTTGTGATTGTGTTCACAGAGCTTGCCTGAATCTTGGAGAGGTTGTGACTTGTCCAGGGTCACACAGCTAGTGAGTGAGCATCAGAGGGGAGGTCTATACCTAAATGTTCCCAGCTCGGAGGCCAGCACTTTGCCTCTGCTAGGACATGCTATCTATTACTGGGCACAGTAGTAGACCGATGATACACCCTGAGGCCTAAAACCATATGCTTGGCTACAGAAGCTCTTTGCTCAAATTTGTTCCACTCTAACCAAGGAAACTGAAGAGAATAGTGAACTAATCCTAGAGAGGCTCTCCACACACATTTATTACTAGGTGAAGGTTAAGTACCTGCCAACAAGTCAGAGGTGACTTGCGCGCCAAGATGTGCTGCGTTAAGTGCGAAGGTTCAAGTTCGTATTTGTCAAAAGGCAGTTTGTCTATGATCATGGGCTCACGGTCAACACAGATGAATCGAATGACAGGGTGAGCTGTCCGAGGAGGCTGAAAGGGAGAGGAACGTTAAACCCATCATCACCAAGCCAACTCCATCATGATCTTTGGTTAAACAACCCAACAACACTTTGTGTTTTTTTTTTTAGAGTGCTCCCACAGTGTTACAGGATCTCTAGGCATGAGCAATGTCTTCCACAGAGGTCACCCAGACTCTTCACCTCCATCACCAACTGGTACATTAAGGCAAATCAAACCAAAATGACAGCACTTCTAATTGGAACTAGGGTGAAGGCAGGAGCTACCCTGAACATGTGACTTGGTTCTAATTCAAGGGAGTGAACCTAAACAAAAGTTCACTTAAGAAGCCAGGCCAAGTTTGGTCTTATTCTTTAGCACCGGGAAGGTAGAGGTTGTCCAAGCAGTGTCTTTGCACCAACGTGAGTAGTCAGGAAAGAGAAAGTCAGTGAGGATTCTGGTAAGAGAGAACAGCAGGCCTAGAGGCACTGACAAAGGAAAACAAACAAACCAACAAAATTCGACCTTGGGCAGCATTAAGAGGGACTGTCTAACTTCCAGGAATAAGGAGGGGCTAGTTCCACTGGATTCTCTGCCCACTTCAAATCCCATTTAGATCATCAGTTTCAGTTCTGGGTACCACAGTTCAGGAAGATCACTAATGAGCTGAAGAGTGACCAGGAAGGAGAAAAAAATGAAGCTCATCGTCAAGAACAGCTTTTGCCAAAGGAAGGAACCAAGTAATAATGTGTGAAAAGCAGGATTGTCCATGGGGATAACAGAGACCATTTCCCCCTTCTAGGGCCTAGAACAGCTAATTCATTCATTCCTACTGTGGGGTTATTAGACCCAGTCAGGGGCCTATGAGCTATACTGAGGGAAGTGTATCATGGGAGGAGGTTTTTAGTGTTCTTGTGCAGCAGGGACTTTTACTCTAAACCAAGGGTATTTAACTAGGGGTCTGTCACTTTTTTTTTTTCTAATGTTTTGAGAACCATATTGCAATATAATGGGCTTCCTTTGTAGAAAGGATTCTCTGTATTTTATTTTATGACTTAGCTGAGAAATAGCCCTTAGGCTTCACCAGATTGCCTGCCAGAGGGGTCCAGGACACACAAAAAGGGTAAGAAGCCCAGCTTTATCCAAACTCTACATTTGCATTTTGAGTAGTGGGGACAAAAGCAAAGCCTGGGGTTCACTTGGCACCCTCTAGTGTCCAGCAAGAGTCACTGCAGCTTATGTACACACGAAAATGACAAAAAATGGTCCCGCTACAAAAGAAAAAATGCTCTCCTTGAAATCAGGACAGGCCCGATTTCGAATCCCAGCTCTTATACTTTGCAACTTCTCAGGCCTTGGTTTCTTCCTCTGTAAACTGGAGGTAATCATTCTGGCACCACACCTCCCAGGGCCATTCTAAGGAAAGCGCCATTAAACCTAAAAAAATGGGGAATGCCATTCCTACTTCCTGCCTGTTCCACAGGAAGCCTCGGAGCCTCAATTGTATTCCGTAGTCCCCGTTTCCCAGAATTCTTTGAGAAAGGTGTTCTCTGAAACTAGCAATTCAAAAATGCAAAAGACCTTTTGTCTTTTTTGTCTCAAAGGTACTTACCAGTGTGTGTGAGTTTTGGTCAGGCCAAAAAGATTCAGGGATTGGCCAGTGCCCAACAGCAACCCCAGTTTTAGGGTTCAGGCGCACATAAATTAGCTTGCGACATCTGTGCCACGAATGATGATGGCCAGAGGACTTTGATGACTTGTGAGCCTCTCGGTGTCCGCCTAAGAGGACACAAGAAAAAGAACTGGTCAGCAAGAATCTTTCAGAACTTGGTCAGGATCCCATGATGCCAGCTTAGCTGGAAACGCGGTCATACGTGGGTTGGATCAGCTTCCTTTTAGACTTGCTGGCTCCAACCTGTATGTATTATGTTCAAAAATTAAGCAATCAGCAGAAATAGAGTGATCAGTGGAACCGATTAGGTACTTAACACACAGAAGCAAATGACTACAGTAGCCTAATGTCTCATAAACTTAGAGACTCCAGCTTACTGGGGTACACACTCACTATTTGACAAAAACTGCTACAAAAATTGGAAAGCAACATGACAGAACCTAAATACAGACCAACATCTCACACCATATACCAAGATAAGCTCCAAATGGATACACGACTTAGACATAAAGGGTGACATCATAAACAAATTAAGAAGCAAGAATAAAATTACATCTGGGATCTATGGACAGGGGAAGAGTTAACGACCAAACAAAGAACAGAGAAAATTTAGTGAAGATCAAATGGACAATCTTGATCATCTAAAATTTAAAAGTTTCTGCACAAAGAAAATCAATGCAGTTAAAATTAAAAGGAAAACAGAGAACAGGGAGAAAAAAAATTTTGCAACAGGTTTCTCTGCTGAAGGTCTCACATCTAAGATATGTAAATAACTGATTCAAATATATAGGAACATGGGCTATTATTCAATGGAAAAGTAGTCAAAGGCTATGAAGAGGCAATTTTCAAAGGAAAAACTCCATCCACCAACAAACATATGAAAAATGCTCAAAACCACTAAAATTAGAGAAATACAAATTAAAGCATTACTCAATTTCCCCTTCACACTGGTCAGGTGGATAGAAATTATGAAAAAGGAAAATGACAAATGGTTAAGAGGCTTCAGGGACACAGGTTACACTAATGCATTGTTGGTACCAGAATGGAAGGCAATTCGAAACTGTGCCCCCAAAGTGACTAAACTGTGTATACTCTCCAACCCAGCAGCACCACTACTAGGCCTATAGCACTAAAGAGATCAAAAGAGGAAAAGGGCCCATATGTACCAAAATATTTCTAGTAGCTCTTTCTGTGGTGGGTGGCAAAAAGGTGAAAATGAAGGGGGCGAGGGGGGGAAGTCCATCAGTTGGGGAATGGCTGGACAAACTATGGTAAATGAATGTGATGTAATATTACTGTGCTACAAGAAACGGTTTCAGAGAAACCTGGGAACTGATGAAGAATGAAGTGAGCAGAACCAGGAGAACAATTTATAGGATAACAGCTGTTTTAAAGATATACAATTCTGAACGACTTACGAACACAATGACTAACCACGGTTCCAGAGAACTCACGATGAAACAAGCTATCATGTTTCATCAGACAGAAAAGTGATGGACTCAGTGTACAGATGGAGACACATATTTGTTGGACATAGACAATGTGGAAATTTGTTTTGCCTGACTAGGAATATTTATTACAAGGGTTTTTTCTTTCTTTTTCAATTTGAAGGGAGTGAGGGGAGAAAGTGGATTTTCATTAACTGAAAAAAAAATTAAATGAAAAATAAAGCAATCATATTTGACAGTCTTTCTTGATTTAAATGGAAACACACCAGCAATATGTAATCCAGGCAAACTTACAGACCATTTCTTCCTTTTGATATAAACAAAGGTGTACCAACACTATGCTTTACGGAAGGTTATTTCATGGTAAATAATAAGCATTCTGCTTGGCTTAATTATTAAGTCACAGCATTACTTTGGCCCTAGAGATATGTAATCCAGTCAAATCTATAGATATTTTCTTCCTTCTACAGTAATCAAAGGTGTCCTAACAACATACTCTAGACAAGGTTATTTCATAGTAAAGAATAAGCATTCTGCTTGTCTTGATGATTAGATCAGAGAATTCATTTGAAACCCAGCGCAGGACCATAGCCCACCTAATGTTTTTAAGGTTATGTAAAAACATAACCTTAAGAAAATGATCCTATCAAGGTGGCTGACTGCACAGGGACAAGGTGAGAAATGGGATATCAGAAAACTGATGTAGTATATCTGGTTTGGTTATAGTATATTAACAATGCTCATGAAACAAAGCTGCCTTCTTTGGGACACAGCAAAACTAATTCATTTTGATCCCTCTCCCTACGCATTTGAGATCTGAGATTTCATCTCTGCAAGGAAATCCCAGTGTGGAAACTCCCTCTGCTGCTGGAGAGTGGCAATTTGGAGTCTGAGCAATCCCTTCTTAAATGATTTGTTTGAGGTCACTCAGCACCTAGGAGGTGTTGAAAGCGAGTGATCCTTGCACCCGAGGGTTTAGCCATTCTGCAATCTCACCTCTGCAGTACCTTCAGCAGGGCACAACTGACATAAGCTGCTTTCAATCCTCAGAAAAAAAGTCCCCTCGAATGACACCACTGGGCCCTGGACCATGACAGCTAGCTAAAATGAGAAAACTTAGCCCAACTACAGAAAACACCTCCAATTTCAACCCGTCTAGAACTGTTAGGGTTATCGCCCAAGGCTTAGAGGATCACATGCCTAGTAGGTGTCAGGGAGGCCATTTGAAGGCAGGTCTTCCTGACTCCAAATCTAGGGCTCTACCCACTATGCCATACTGTCTTGCAAATTCCCAATGGTCCCAAAGAAATATAAAATATACCTGTCTATACTTTCCTTATAGGTCAAATGACACTATTGGAAATGGAAAGGAAAGAACTTAGCTGTTTTCCTCCAATGTTGCTCTATACTAGGGGCAGCTAGATGGTGCAGTGGATAGAGCACTGGCCCTGGAGTCAGGAGGACCTGAGTTCAAATCCGACCTCAGACACATAACACATACTAGCTGTGTGACTCTGGGCAAGTCACTTAACCCCAATTGCCTCCTATAAACACAAAACCAATTGCTCTGTACTGAACACTGCTCAAAAGGCTATGGGCTTAGAAATCTTTTTATACTACAGGTTATCATAATATGCTACCACTCTAATATCATTTGACCTACAGTTTGTAGATCTCAAGATGAAATACTTTAAAACAGTAAAAGGAAACCACACTTTGCATCGTTTGGTTCCAGAGAACAGATAACGATACATACCTCTGGCCTCTCAGGAGAAAGGTGGGGACTACAGGGGCAGAATGCTATATACACTGCCCAACCAGGCTCACTCTCTAGCTGTGTTGCAAGGGAGAGCTTCAGGTGACTTGAAAACAAAAGGCACCACAGATTTCTTTGAATCAAAATGAGATTTTGGACCTATTGACTCCTTAGTACAGAGCTCATCTCATTACATCTTCCTTCCCAAGTCAGAAGTGAAGATTCTACAACAACACACGCTGCCAGTCTACAATTTCAACCTTATTAAAAAGCATCCTGCCAGACAGGAGTTGGCCAGGTCTAACAGAAATCCTTGAAAGCTGATCTGTAGAATAAGAACTGCTCGGACAAGTTGGTAAAAACATTTCACAAGAAGCTATATTGATATGCTTTGTCTTGTGATGAGGGCCACTGAATGGGAATCTAACTTCACAGGAAAAGTGTCCATGCTCAGGAGTGTTTCTCGAATCCTGGCACAAAAGGGACAGAATGAATGCTGTCATGGAGGCACGCAGCAGGGTATGATGGAAAAGAGGGCCAGGACTGGAGTCAGGGACCTGAGTTCAAATCCTGATTCTGCCACCTACTCCCTTACTGAGAAGACTGTGACATAGTGGCAAGAGTGCTGGCCTTAGAGCTGGAAAGATCTGGGTTAGGCATTTATCAAGCACCTTCTATATCCCAGGCACTGTGTTAAGCGCTTTACAAATACTATCTCTTTGATTCTCATAACAACCCGGCAAGGTAGGTGCCTTTACTATCCCCAGACCTCCTCAAGTACCTGAAGAGCTGTCTTACAGAAGAAGGACTAACCTTTTGCTTGGCCCCACAGGGCAGAGCTAAGAGCAGTGAGTGGTAGCTCCAGGGAAGTTGATGCGGGCTCTACATAAGGAAAAACTCAGTAATGGGTAGAGATACTCAGCAGAGGAATGGGCTATAAAGCATTTCCTTCCCAACAACCCTGGGAGGCAAGTAGTAGGACAATATCATCCTCACTTGAATAGATGAGGAAACTGAGGCACAGATGAAAAGAAGTGATGTGCCCAGGTCACCCAGCTGCTAAGTGTCAAAGCCAGAAATGGAACTCAGTTTATAGTTTCCAGGCCAGGTATCCCACCACTCTACTCGTCCTCCCCTCAATCCAGAAGGAGTTTTGCCAAGGGGCTGTACTGAGGATACAGAGACAAAACAAACCTTCCTACCTTCAAGAGGCTTATAGTCTAGGGGCAGAGGCTGGGGAGACAGGGAAGGGGAAGGGGGAGGGCACAACACATAAATGTAATAAGCTCAGGAGTCCTGGGAGTGGCAGGATCCCCCAGGTCCTGCTTCTGGCCCAACCTGCATTGCCATTGTCCTGTGGGAAACAGCTCCTGTGGAGAAATGGTCAGCCAGCCCGTCAACTGGGAACTCACGGTGCAGGCAAGCCAGCCCAGCTGAAGCTTTTAGGTACTTTAAGGGGAATATGGAAAGTAGCATGCGCCAGGCAAGCCGCTCCCCTCATGCCCCAACGGACATATCCCAGGGCCCTGAACCTAAGAGCCTTGGGAATAGCGATCTTTCCAGCTCAGTGCCCTCCTGGGAAGGAGATGCAGCCTCCCCACTGCCCCTGCAGGTGCTTCAGACAGCCACAGCTACTAAAGGCCCAGAAAAGAAAGCTCTTGTCACCAATGTCTTTGGCCCCATTAAACGGTTCAGCATCAGAAACTGATGCAATTTATCAGTGGAAATGACATTAAGGAAGAGGCCTTGCATTTGGTTTTCTTTTTTTCTTTTTAGGCAGTTGGGGTTAAGTGATTTGCCCAGGGCCACAAAGTGAATAAGTGTCAAGTGTTTGGTCTGAGGTCAGATTTGAACTCAGGTCCTCCTGACTTCAGGGCCGGTGCTCTATCCACTGCATGACCTAGCTGCTTCGAGGCCTTATATTTGTACCCTAAGGAGCTCTGCGAGGACAGGGGCTGTTTGACTCTTCTGCATCACAAGCGCTTGATGTATACTTTAATTCTTCATTTGTTCATTCACACATAATAATTTGAGGAACAGAGAGAGAGCCCTGACCGCTAAGGGGATTCTGAAAGGCTTACTGTAGGTGATGCCATCCAAGCTGAGCTACAAAGGATGCTAAGGACTCAAAGATGTGGTGCTAAAGAGAGCATTCCCGGCATGGGGACAAGCTTGCTCTACGGAGTGGAGGCAGGAGGCAGGTTCATGAAGGTGGATAATGGACACGAAGCTTAGAGAGGGAGGCCTGGAGCCAGACTGTGAAGGCCTTTAAATGCCCATATCAGCAGTGCCATTTACCACGGAGCCTCTGAATAAAGGGCAGCTAGGGGGCCCTGTAGTGGATAGAGCACTAGGGTTGTATTTAGGAAGACTCCTCTTCCTGAGTTCAAATCTGGCTTCAGCCACTTACTAACTGAGTGACCCTGGGCAAGTCACTTCACCCTATTTGCCTCAGTTTCCTCATCTGTTAAAGATGAGCTGGAGAAGGAAATGGCAAACCACTCCAGCATCTTTGCCCAGAAAACCCCAAATGAGGTTACAGAGAATCAGACACAACAAGTATAACAACTCTGAATGAAGGCTCTCATGGAGGGAAGTGTTTTAGAAAGGCTCCTTTCAAAAGCTCTCTCTTTTCTGCCCAGTAGGATGGAAGCTCCTTGAGGGCAGAGACTTTGGTGTTGTCTTTGTATGCTCAGGAAATACCCAGAAGACGGCCTGGGATATCTATATCTATCTATCTAAATCCAGAGATATAGAGAGATAGATAGGTAGATAGGTAGCTATAGATCGACTAGTAGATCCATCAATATCTATATAGTAGATACTTCAACCAGGCCCTTGTGCTGACTGGGGATTTGCTTTTTTTTTTTTTTAAAGACGATCCCAAAGCCGTGGAGCTAGGTGCAGCAGAGCAGCGAGCACACTATGGCTCAGGTATACTTGAGGCTTTTTCAACGATTGAAAATTGGATTTTCCACGTGACTTGTTTCTCCTGCCCAAAAGAGCATTAGGCAAAAATCATGTCCCTGTTTCACTCTACCTTGCCTTGCCGTTCATCGGCTGACTCTCAAGAAAATGGTAGTGCAGTGAAGAGGCAAGGATGGGATTCTGATCGGCCTTCACATAGCGTACAGGACCAACAATGGGCCAACAATTTCTCAGTAGACAGCCTGAAGCCAAGCAAGGTGGGGGGAGCAGGGAGAGTTGCTTTAGGCAGCAGGGAAAAAGCCAACACTGCCTTCTGGTGCCCCTTCCTCCCTCCCCCCCAAAGGAATCCCATACCTACCTCCCTTTCCTTTTTTTCCGTCGACAGAAGAAGTGGGCTGTGGTCCTGCTTTCTCAAAGTAAACAACAACACCACTTTGAACTTTTTGAACTAAAGATTCTAAGCACTGGTTCAACATTTTTTGGGTCCTAATACAATAGGAACGGCCTAGATGAAAGAGAAGGAAAGAATACAAGGGTGAGCATTTTGTTTTCTAACAGATCATTCAACAAAACAAAATACATCTGAAAACCTCACCACATGGCAGGGTATAAGCTGCTATTCAACTGGATTCAATTAAAATATTTATTAAGCACCTACCGTGTGTCTGGCACATGTAGGCGTTTAATAAATGCTCCCTTGATTGACTGACCAGAACTAGGGATACAAAGATAAAATTAAAAAAAAAAAATCCCTCATCCTTAAGGAGTTTAAGTTCTATAGGGGCTGTCAACATTAGCTAAGCGGGCAGAGGGGAGAGACAGAATCAAGGAAAGATTCCCGGAGGAGGTGGCACCTAGGATAAGCAACATATATGCAGATACATAAAACACAAAATAACCGAGAAGGGAAAGAGCCCTAATGACTGGGGGCAGGGAGGGGGAGTCAGGGAGGACTTTCTCAGGTATGGGGGGGGGGTTCCTGAGCTAAGCCTTAATAGTAGACATTGTGGGGATAACTCTCATGGGGTAAGCAGCTACAGACGGACTCCCCGTAAATAAACTCAGTGTTGGAAATAGGGCTGATGTAGCTGTCGACACCTCTACCTAACCTCCCCTCCTGTCACTTCAAGACCATAAATTGCGCCTGATACCTCCTGTAACTTCACACATTTGTGTAATAACAGATTCATCCACTGGTACGCTCCCTAGTGTCTCTGGCTCAGATGACAACGTCCCAGGTATACGCAGCACCAGGGCAAATAACCTCTGGTCCCAGCGGAAAGGTTCTTTGGTTAGCTCACTTCCAGGCAGAGAAGAGGTCAAAGGGAGATGAAGCTGGTGAGGCAAGATTGGGCAAAGTTCATCTTAAAATGCAGCACTGGAAGCCCCTACTCCTCCCCTGCCTTTCAGGGATGGTCAACACGAAAGGTTTGATCAAACCTGTTTCTCATGGAAACAAATCTACCTCCCCTGGGGCCTAACTGCAAATTCCCCACCATTGAGATAAAGCTATATTAAAATGGCAATCTTACCTCCTCTTGGACACTACTCATATTTGTCAACTTATTTCCATCTGTGATGGCAATTAAAAGAGCTGGTTCCAGAAAACATGGATTCCTCCCCTAAAATTATATTGGGAAAAAAAGATCAGTGTGTGAAACAATAATCTTTTATCAACAAATTTTCATTCAGCACACAGCTCTCAAAATGCTGATGGAGAGTGTTTTTTTTTCCTCCCTTGATTAAAGAATGATGTAAAAGACCAGGGCATGAAATAGTTGATTTCAAAGAGAACTGAAGTCCAAGGGACCAAAATCTAGCAGCAAGTTCAGAAATGGTATTCAGTTTTACCCTGGTCCTCTTGGAGACCGTCATATCAGGATATACCTCACTACTGGAGCTCAAATCATCATGAAATGAATGTGTTTAGGAACAGGTGATATGAGTCATCCTTAGATCATATAAAACACTCAGCAAGCTTGAGTGCTGGCACAGGTGGGCGAAGGGGATTCTCCCTGCCCCCCTTGCTCAGAATCCCAGCAGTCATTCATTTGGTTCTAGTCCCAGTGTCTACTCCTGCTGACCCCTCGGTGGGCAGGGCAGCGAACAGGAGCCATAGTGAGTACTTCTCCACCTTTCCTTCTTCCTCAAGCCTTTCAGTTGGCAGTTGTGAAAAAAGCACACACTCCAGCTACCCATTCCACATATCTACCCCAGCACAACAATTTTTATCAAATCTGTACCCTGGCACATGGAGGTTTGGCCTCCCTTGGAGCAGGACACATACCAGATCAATGGACTCTGTGTCTAGCTGCCCTGTTTCTACGATATACAAGAATAAAAATGGGACATGTAGGAATGTAAACATTCCTACATGTAGTTTAAATGTAGTCTAAAGTACAAGTGAACAACATCAATACCTGTTATTAAAAAAAAATGTTTAGGGTTATATCATCTTTCCAGAGACTGTGAAAATAAAATGGAAAATTTCACTATGCCCACCTGTAAATTCTTAGCCATGCTCATGCCCAAAACACAAAGCCCAAAACAGTTAGCTGTAATCTCTTAAATGTGTTGTTACCTGTCCATAATTGTCTATTCCAGACACCAATCTATTCAGATTTAACAAATCGAATGCAGATTTCAGAGCCTGGCCAAGAGTAGTCAGTCCAGAAGCATGAAGGTTTTTCAGTTCAGTCATGAATGTGGCATGGTCCTCTTTCCAACCAGCCTGTAAGATCAAATAACATTGGTTATTTTCTTTCTGTGCTCATGTCAAACACTCTTCTTTCCTTTTTACTGCTTTGGTCTCTGTTGGCCACTGCTAGTTCTTCTATATTTCTTCAGTTTCTGAAAAAAGAATCTTCTCCTTCTCAAACAACAATCCTTTGAAACACTAGTTCCAAGAAGTAGCACCTTCTTCAGATAGAACCCTTGATCTCAGCCAGAAAGTTAGAAGAACCTGCCCATGCCAGAACTTGCAAAGAGGCAGACCTAACAGGTCTGAAAGTGGAGTGGGCCGCCTTGGGGGGTATTGGGTTCCCCGTCACTGAGGTTTTTGGGAGGAGGCTAAATGACTATTTATCAGGGATGTGGAAAGAGGGATTCTTGGTCAAGCCCCGGTTTGACTAGATGGCCTCTCAGCAACCTTCCTACTCCTTGAGTTTCTTTTGATTCTATGCAATATCGCCCTGACAAATAAGGAAAGAGCACCTCTATCCTATTTCAACCTTTTGGCTCCTAGGAAGGGACCAAAGGGAAGAGAGTCTTCATTTTCCACAAGATCAAGACTAGAATCAAGAAGCTCAAGCTGATGATGGGGCTAGAAGGCTGGCTCTACAGGCTCCCTCCATGGCTTGCTGTGGTTGTGCTTAACCCAATGAAATCTGTGCAATGTGGGCAATGAGATGGAAAAGAAAAGTGATACTGTCCAGGTAACCTTGACCTAAAATATATTCAGTGAATTTCATGGCCAATAACCTTTAACATTTATAAACAATTGCGTGGGTGATGACTTTCAGATCTGTTCCTAGAAATCAGTGTAGTCCCAAGTAAGCAGGTATCATATCAAGATTCTGATCCTTCATACCAGAAAGGTAGAGTGCGCACTCTGTAATTGTTATACCTGAAAGAGACCAGATAACAGATACAAAACCGGCTATAGAAAAGGTCAGGTCACAGAAATGCTTGCATTCTAAAGCAGCAAACAAATCTGTCAAGATGAGGTCAAGTTCCAAAGACTCCAAGGAGGTGCAGTAGGAAGAGCACTGGATTTGGACTCAGAAGACCTTGGTTCAAATCCCAGCTCTGCCATTCACTTGCTGTGTGACCTTCGATCAGTTACTTTCCCTTTCTGGGCCTCAGTTTCCTGCTCTGCCAAATGAGGGGCTTGGACTAAATCTCTGAGCTCCTTTTCAGCTCCATGATCCTCTGATTACAGCCCACACCTGCTGCCATTCAGACTCACTGAAAGGAAAAGAGCAGGCTGATTGGCTGGCAGAATTAATGAAAGGTCAGCTCTTGCACTGGAAAGCTGAGAGAGATGGGACCAGGAGAAGACTACAGCAGGAGTTCTTAACCCTTTTTGTGCCATGGACCTCTTGGGCAGTCTGGGGAAACCTCTGGCCTCTTCAGAATCACGTTTTGAAATACATGAAATAAAATGCACAGGATTACAAAGGAAACCAGTAATGTCAAAATATGGCTATCAGAAAAAAATTAAAAAATTTAAAGCAAGCTTACAAACCCCAGGTTAAGAATTCCTAAACTAGAGAGATTCAAAAGGGCAGCTGAAAGGCAGAGAGAAGGAGGGACAGAGCTGCAGGTGGCAGGCCTGAGGGTGTTGCACATCCTGAAGTCAGACAAGGCAGAGGCCAGGGCAGCTCTGCAAACAGCCCTGTGTGATTCAGCAGCCAGCCAGCAGGCTCCCCAGCACATGGAAAGCCCTCGAGGGCAGCCAGGCTAGGCGGGGAGAGTGCACAGTCAATGGCAGGTAGGCAACAGGGGAGCTGAGGCCTTCAATTTTTATTCCAGCCTTGACACACGAGTTGGGTGGCCCTGGCTAAGCCCCTTCCCCACTCTCTGGGCTTCGGTTTGGCCCTCTGGAAAATTGTGGGGCATGGGGGTGAGTGCAGAGAAATCTCAATGGAACAGATGCTGTACCTTCTGCCAGATGGGTGATGGATTCAGGGGGCAGATGAAGACAGTTATTTTTTGGCCATGGCCAGGGGCAGGACGGGGGGGGGGGAATTTTTTTTTCTTGACTATACATATTTGTTCCAAAGAGTTTATTTTTCTTTTTTCATTTGGGAAGATGGGAGGGTATAGGAGGGAGTAAGGGTAGATTTTAGTCAATTAAAGAAAATTTTAAATTAATTTTTTAAAAAAGGAAATGGTCGGGGTGGTATGTTTGGACATGATGCTTTCTTGCCTTATCATCAGCCGGTGACCCTGGGCACTCACTGTCCAGTTCAGCCAACTAAGGGAGGGGGGTGGAGGAATTTGCTTTATCTTCTTACATTGACAAACCAAACAGGACCACGAAAACACTGTAGCCCATAGGCCTGTGAAGCCATTTAATAAATCGACAAGCATTTGCTAGCTGGCTACTAGGTGCCTGACTCTGTGCTAGGGCCTAGGGATGCAAAAACAATGAATGAAATAATCCCGACTCACAGGAACCCTTCATCTGAATGGAGAATGAGAAGCTGCTCAGGATTGCACTAAGACTTTTGGGACACCCAGCATAGTGGCAGAAGAGGCCTCGAAATATATTTTAGAAACCATCACAGACTCCAAATGTCCTCAAGTAAGAGGCAAAAAGGCCAAGAATAAGACAGCGGTCCCAGCGTTAAGGAGAAAATGGCCATCCACTTACAACTTTGAAAAGGGTGAGGATAGGAAAATGTCGGTGGATCAGGATGGCATTGGCCTGTACCATCGGCTATGATATCCAGGCTCCGAGAGGGCAGCTGCTGAAATTCTTTGCCAATTGAGTCACCTAAAGTTGCTCGGCACAGGCCGAAATTAGAGCACCAGCCTGGGTTTTATTTAAATGGTTCTCCCGGGCAAAGAGCAGAGTGCCCTCCCCCCACCTTGAGCCCAGGGCCCATGGACAAGGCAGAAAGATTGTTCTGAGCTCTAAATTCTGTGAAATGAAAGATACTGATTTGAAAAGATTTAGGCAACTTGGCCAAGAGATAGAAGAATATGAGGCTAAAACCAGTAAGCATGTCATTATTTAGCCAGACTCCATGTGATGAGTGAGCACCACACGAGGGCAAAAAATAAGTATAATTCTTCGTAACCCAATCCAAATCCTACTGGCCACTTCCAGAGCAGACTAGCTGAACTGGGGGACAAAGGAGGGGTTACCATTTATTTTGTTTTTATCAGCTAGCAGAATATGCTAGGAAGGCTATGAATAATGTTAGAAGTCACATGGCGGGGGGGGGGGGGCTAGAGACAAGAGGCCTCATGGGAAGGAAGCCCACCAGCTCCTCAGTTCCACGACTAGGCCTCCAGTTTTTTTCCCAGTTACTGCCTCTGACAAGCTGACGTGTCCATGTAGGGACTTGCCCAACACAAGATCAAGGGAGGATGGTCCTCCTTTTCTTGGCAGAAGTGAGGGAGCTGAGGTAGGCAATACTGATTACACACACCATCAGACTCGGTGGAGGTCTTGGTTCCTCTTTGTCCTCCTCTTTTAAAATCTTATAATGGAGGGTTTCCTGGGCAGGGGAGGAGGGAGAGATTCAGAAATGAAAGTCATGCTAAAAATTACTGATAGGAATTTTTTAGAAAAATGATAGGTTAACTGAAAATATATCACTGTTTGGTAGGAAAGGCTGTAGGATATTTGATTTAATAATGCCCTGGCAACAGGATATTAGGTTCCACCTAGATAACCCAGCATCACAGATCTCTAAAATACGGGGCCCAGATTTTGTGGAGGCCTAGGAGTCAATCTGTCAGTAGTGCGATGTAGTGGAGAGACAGTCAGACCTGTTATCAGGAAAGTACTGGGTCTGAATCTCAGCTCTATCAAGTCACTTTCCCTCCCCGGGCCTCAGTTTCTTCATCTGTAAGATGAAGGGGTTAGAACAGAAGAATCTACGATATCAAAATATTCTGAGGTACAAAGATTGTCCAAATGGTTAGTTACCACAGAATAGTACCAAGGGCAAACAAAGCCAAGAATAAGAAGCCAAGAATCAGAGCTTTATGCCTCCTGAGACATCATCTGGTTCAACCCTTGGATTCCAGGCAGATCAAAATCAATTAACAAGTAGTTGTCAAGCTTTTAATAGGTCCTTGGAGATAGAGCAGGGGAAATGGAAGTCCTTAATTTTAAGGAAGGCAGAGAGAACATGAGGAAAGCAGAGACAGGTAAATGAGCAGAGTCTATATAGGAGACACGGAACAAACCAAGAGTCTAGCTGAGAAGAGAGGGTACTGGCTGATCATGGGGAAATAAGGTGGGATATCATGTCATTTGGGGCCAGATGAACCTCAAAGGCCAGGGAGAAGAGTTTATACTTTATTGAGCTGTTAATAGGGACTCTCACTGTACTTCTTGGTCAGAGTAGTGACATGATTTTTTAAAATTTATTCTTGCAAGGTAGTCGGGGTTAAGTGACTTGCCCAGGGTCACACAGCTAGTGTCAAGTGTCTGAGGCTGCATTTGAACTCGGGTCCTCCTGAGTGTAAGGCCAGTGCTCTATCCACTGCACCACCTAGCTGCCCTGGGGTAAGGACATGATAAAAGCAATATTTCAGAAAGACTGAGCTGGCAGAGGAGTCTGAACTTGATTGTATAGGCTATAAAGTGTTTAGCATAGTGCCTGGTACACAGTAGGTGCTTAATAAATGCTTCCTTCTAACTATCCTCATCTTATCTCATTTGGGCCTCACAGCAACCCTGGGACGTAGGTGCCATATGACTATTATTACCCCTGTTATACAGGTGGGGAAACTGAGGCTCAGAGATACGAAGTGATCATTCATGATCGTAGAGCTAATAAATACCAGAGGTAGAATATGAACCCAGGGCTTTTTGCCTTAAAGTCTGGCACTAAGTTTCGACACCTCTCAATAAGTAATGTTAACATCAGTGCAGTCAACCCCACAGCTCCAGGTGTACTAAGACAGCAGTTTCTTCTCCATTCAGAGTTGTTCCCTAAGACATTGAGAAGTGAACTTTGCAAGGACATGGTGAGAATAGCCTTGGCC